CCCACCTACCTGCACCAAGTGCACTGTGGGATCTGACTACACTAGAGACTGCCTGGAGACAGAGAGGCTCATGGGAGTGAGAGGATGAAGTCAGGAGATCAGGGAGGATAGAGGGAGGGCTCTCTCTCTGCAGTGTAATCTCATTTAAAACTGAGGCAACTCCAACTCCACACCCTCAGTATCGACAGAGTGAGTCAAGAAGACACACTGAAAACATTTTTGTAATCAGTATGAGGTATTGTCGAGGAGTCCCTTCCATCTCTGTGTTGAAATTTAAGGAGCAATACCACACTTCCTAATATAAAAAAGGGAAATAATAACACCTCTCCCATTTTTTCATCTTAGATGATTTCCACAATGGTTAAATTAAAGCCACATTCATTGGGGGTAAATGTAAGAGTTAAGTCATTAGACAACGCACAGCTAAATTTGCTTTAATAGGCCACATTTTGTCCTTAAATATTTATGAACATACATTGAGCGAAGCCTGCGAGCTAGTTCAGGCAGTCAACTCGAGCTGCACCTTATTCTATAATCACTAACCAAGTGCTCCCTTCCAATCTGGCGGTCTATTTAAACTGCACAATTTCCCAGCTCTCCCTCTGCTCTGTCAATGTGGCTGTTGTCCTGCATCCGTATTGCTGCCTGCTGCGCTGTAAGCCCCACCACCACCCCAGCATCCACCTGTAGGCTCCGGCTAGGGGTTTAACGTATTTTCTCATCACTCCCCAATATCTCTATGTAAACATACCTGAGGGGAATGATGAGGTTGGAGCCAAAATCTAAATATGCTATACTGCTGTAATAAACATTTCAAACGTGAGTTGTCTGACTGAAATGTATTTGTGTGTGTGTGTGCATGTGTGTGTGTTCACATTGGGTGATTATTCCATTTAATACCACTCTATCCTTATGGAGAAACACACCCTACATATACAGCTGTGTAATTTAATATAGACGAAGGGAGTGAGAGGTCCATTTCCTGCTGCACTGCACGGAGCCTTTGCTTTAAAAAAACATGTTCAGAACCACGGACAGCTCCTGAAGTTTTTATCAGGTTTAAAATGTGCAGGATGGTGCCGTCACAAGAGCAAGTACATGGCCTTGTTGCATGGGAGGTTTATATTTAGTCTGATGAAGAGCAGCGTTGCTCGATACAACATTATTTGCTAACTTTCAGCTCAGCACCTGTCTGTGTTTGGTTTGTATGTGCGTGCATATACGCCTATTTGTAGGTTTGTGTTTTGAACATGAGCTTTGTTACATGTGATCTCTTAACCTTCTCTCCTTGCTATTTGGTGTAGCTATAGTGTGAGTGACACTTTTCTAATACTGATTCCGTCCTCTGAACACTCTCAGTTTATCGGGGCAAGGGCCCAAATAGTAGTTAAAACCACCCCACAGGGATGCTGACCCAGGCTGACTCCACCAGCTGTTCTTGTATACAGAGCCCAAGCCGCTCCGGATTGAAATCCAATGAGTGGACAGGCCACTGCATAACCTGATTTCACTGTTTTATTCATGAAAGCATTCTTGGACAGTTTTGACCTCCTGACATGGTGCATTATACTATTAAAAATCCCTGATAGGTGCTCACACTGCTGGCATAAGGGGATGGTCAGATGTCCTCTAGCATTCAAACATGAATTATAAAGGGCTCAGTGAGTGCCATGCAAACACAATCAACACCATCACACTTCCACCAGACTGCAATGTTTTCACTCTGCGTGAGTTTGTCCAACTCTCCTGTGTCCAATGTTGTTGTTCCTTACCTCAGTACAACCTGTAATTCGTGTTATGAGCAGGAAGAAACACTCTGTTGGGTCATTAACTGTAACTGTATTTGTGTTAAGGTGGGACAGGTTATGCATTCCCATTATTATATTATTATGGAGTTTTCAGCACCAATGCTGTACTCAGCAGCTATTCCCATTCAATAATCACAACAATTGAAATGATGTTCAAAAGAGAGAGTCCATCTCTCTTCTTCTTCTTTCCTACCGTATAGTAATTTCCTAAAACAGCTTTTTACCAAACGTTACCCAAGCGGGAGTAAATATTTGGGGACTATATACTGATTGACTTTTTCAGCAACAACAATACACGGTTGGTGAACCTTTAGTTTTACAACAAAATCGATCAATGACAAGATGTCAAGAGTGTGTGTGTGTGTGTGTGTGTGTGTGTGTGTGTGTGTGTGTGTGTGTGTTTATACGCTGGTTGGTTTTTGTACAGTAGTGTGTGTTTAACAGTATCAAAATTAAAAGCAGCCCAAATTTAAAACAAATTCAAATCAATGAGAAGATCAACTGTGTGAGATTTGGTGTTTTGGGACTCTCATACATGGAAGCAATGCACAAGGATTGAGGATCCATCCATCATTCCTCGCACACATACACATAAATCATCCTGTCTCCATATCTGCAGCATACATAAAGCAATATACATACAACATTAAGTTGATCTACAACCCCTTCACACTGCTGCGCTCACTCCATCCAATTGGCTCTGCAAGTCACATCCTTCCATCAATCCCAATCCGCCAATCTGAAATAGACAATTTCACTGCTCACAACTGGGAATAAACTATCGTTGGCATTTTACCTTACGGGACTCTACAGCACCCCGCAGACAAGTCAACATTACTGCACTGTATGTGTGTCATTTCTCCTTTAAAATAACTTGGCTGTCGATTAAAGGAAAACCACCTGATAAATATTTTAAAGTGTTACTCTCGGAGAACTCAAGCTCTTGTACTACGGAGGGAACCGTCTCTGGGTTGTGTTTGGAGGACCAAAACTGTACATCACTGTAGTTTATGATGGGGTTTTTTTATGTTTTATGTTTTATGTTGTGTCAATATGTATTTGTTTATTAGGATCCTAACTAGTGCCAGCTCTTCATTGGGTCCACAAAACCATCAATATGGTTACTGCTGTATGTCATGAAAATATTTAGGTTTTCTTTGTTACTGGTTTCTTGTATTGATAAATGTCAACTCACTGGCGAGTTTTACTTATTGAATGTCACTGTGGATAAATTAAATATGAACATCACAACTCTCAGAAAACAGATTCAATAGGTCACATCTTATAGGCAAGTTTATGTAGCTCAGTTTTTCAGTATTTTACATATTGATCATATTGTAGCATTAATGCCCAGGAATTTAGTCATATAGTATATCAGCCATATTTTTTTCCCCACATGGCCTCCAGTATCCATCCTGTACCTGATAACCTCTTTGAGTAAATTTCAGCTGTGGATTCAAAAAATATGGTATTACTTTCCCCCAAGAGAGCTCGCTCCAGGACCTTGGGTTGGTAGTCTTAGCTTTCCCATATATTCGATCGTCTTCAGATGTCTATCATGCCAGATTCCTTCTCCCAGTTCTGTTTGACACAGACACAAGTGTAGTTTTTGGAGGTTTTTATTCTATTGTATATTCATGATATAAGATACTTGTTATCTTTAATCCTCTTTAGGAATTATTGATATTATTGCCTCGTTCCATTTTTGGTGTGTTTGTCCTTCTTTAAGTGTGTGGTTAAAGCACCTGAGAGCACTTGCATTCATTCAGGCTTGAAGGTTTTGTACCATTCAGCTGTGAAACCATCAGACCCTGGTGTTTTGTTCGCATTCGGTCGGGAGATGGCATTATCCAGTTCACTGACGGTTATCTCTGCAGTCAGTGTCAGATGGTGTCCTATTGTGCAAAGATCCAGAGATTTCAAGAATTGTGAAAAGAGTTTTGTCAGGTTGGGTTAAAGGTCCTTTGTTTGGGCCTCGAAGAATTGTTGAATATCTTCTAGTTTGTAACATATTTTATTATTTATTTGATTTCTTAGTTTCTCTCTGTTGTTTTCCTGATCAACATGATAGTCGTGATGTTTTTATAATATTTTTGTCTAGTAAATCTCTGTTTTTCTTCATCACAAATTCAATTTATTCATTTTTGGACATTAATTGGGCTAAACATTTTTTATTTTATTTTTTTAATACAGTTCTGAATTTCTAGGTTTTTCAGTTTCGACTAGTTCTAATAAATATTTATGCTTTTCCTTTTTTCTATGGGTAGTGAATGCAATAGTGTCACCTCCTGTTGATGTCACAGTACATTTGCCAATAATGTTTCCTTATCCTTATTTTCCAAGGACTGTTTCAATTTTTTTTGATATAATATTATCAATATTCAGTATACTGGTGTTAAGTCTCCACAATGTTTCCCTCTTATTATTATCCAGGAGTAACGTAAGATACGCTCCTGAGTGGCCTATAACATTTCTAACACCTATTTTGCAATGGACATGAAAAGTAATCTAAGCTGTAGTATTTTGCAAGTAATAAGCGAGTTGCTTTTGAGTGGAGGTCCCTCCATCTATCACACCAGATTCCCTCAACAGTTTCCTCATGAACTTTATTTTTTCTGCTTAAGCAACTTAGTACCGTCAAGTTTGGGTTTTATTTGATTGTTCCAGTCCCACAGATTAATATTCCTGATGATGACTTTATCTTTATTATTCTTTTTAATGATCTGTCACGACCTGATGAAAACATTAAATAAAGTTACTTCTGTGTGATCTATCATCCCTTTAACTAGAATATAGTGACCTTCCTTATCGTAGATTTGAGTGGTTAGAAAAATTACCTGTTAGAGAGTAATATGGCCACTCCTCTCTTTTGCAATGATTTATGAGAGGAATGAAATGTATTAATGAATCCTTTTTCAAAGTTCAAAGTTAGAGAGACACGTCTTTTCCCAAAAACATCACTTGTATGTTTTATTTTAGCAGTAACATTAACTATTTCTCTGCATTATATAACCCATTCATCTTGTTACCTTTGGTGGCCCATTGAAATTGAAAAAAACTGCTATTTTATAAGCTATGGTTAACAATTTATGTATGAATGTAACATCTTACAGTATATAAATCTATGCCTTGCTTAACATTATGATTCAAATGTTCCTCTTGGTGATATACTGTGTTTTTGTGTGTCTCCAGTCCAGAAACAGTCTCCAGGTGGGGGATATTGACGGGGCAAGGAGGCTGGGTCGACTGGCTCGTCTGCTCAGTATTGTCTCCATCGTCCTGGGCATTGTCATAATCATAGTCTACGTCTCAGTTTCAGGTACAGAAACAAAGACAAATAGGACACATTGCAGAATACAATGACGTACATTTTGAAAAATAAATGTGTTAAACCTGCCTGCCTTATACCACAGCTGATTTTAATGTTTGTGATAAAGACTCATTATTTATTTGTGCATGAAGTAAATTATTTGTTTATAGTAGAGCTTATTTTAAGTCTGCAAAGGGAGAAATATTTGGACATAATGTATAGTGTGTGTACGTGTGTCACTCACAAATGCACACAGGGCTTTTACAACAAGTGTTCATCAACAAAGAATACCTACTGCATTACGATTACAGGGTGATATATGACACTACCACACAAGCATGAGATGTGTGTTTTTCGATGTCCTAACTCAGCACATTTCCAAGCGTTGTGTGTGTGTGCGTAGATTGATTTAGCACTGCAGCGAGTGTAGTAGGCTGACTGTGCAGCAAGGGCGGCTACGCTGCTGCTCAAAGCCTACGACACTTGAGCTACACCAGTCAAAATAATGAAGCTGTCTTTGTGTCTGACCTGACTTTATCTGACAATGCCTTGTTCTCCTCTTCTTTCTTTTACAGTCGTAAAGCACTGACATGGAGGACCCGAGAGAAGAAAATGAACCGTGAAAGCCTAACCACGGACGCAACAAGGGAAAAAAATAAAAGCCCATTCCAAAAAAACAAAAATCTTAACTTAATGTCATATGGTAATTACATCATGACCACCCTCAGAATGCAAAAAATAGGTAACCCATGAGAGTAGAAGCAAGTATACAAACGAAAAAATCATTCAGAGATGCATGCATTAGAATCCAGTAACATTTGCTTGACAAAAATAAAACCTGATGTAGAATTGTTCAGGTTAAAACAGAGGAAAAATAAAATGCAGATTTGTTTGTGGACAGAAGGACTCATAAATGTTTCTTTTTGGAATAATGGACTTCTTAAAATGAAGAGGATGACCTACTATGAGGAGGGAGTGAACAATTGACGTTTTCGTGTCTAGGATGGGACTCCTTTGAAAAATGGATTCTGGGTTTTGGACGTCAAACTTTGGACAGCTGCATATAATCCTCATATATTCCTTACTGAATCTCTTGCATTCAAAGCATATACAGCTACAAATATATTTGAAATATGGATATATGAATATATATATATATATATATAGATGTACATTTTATAAAAAATGTTTGTATGCCAAGTGGTGCTGGGTTTGTTAAGACTGTCACAATGGCTTTGTCAGCACTTGGATTATCACCGGAAATTCAAGGGTTTGTGAAAAGACACATTTTTAATTTTTGTTATTTATTATAATTTTTGAAACTAAAAAGAAATTGAGACCAACTGCATGCCTGAATGTATATAACCAAACGTCTGCCTTCGTTTGACTGTTATTAGTTGTCTCTTTTCATATAAAGGAGTCAGAGAGGCTAACAGGTTTGCACATGAAAGAGTGATTTGTGTACATTATGTGAGTCCAGCCACTGTAGAATGTGTGAGGACTGTGATCTAACACTCAAACACCCCCCTTTATGTCCCAAAAAATACCTTTGCCTTGCTCTGGCAGAGACTGAAACGCATGCCAAATCTCCCACCATCCCTTGGTCCCTTCTTTTCTTTCACATACTCTAATTCTTTACCACAAAACCTGACTTAGTGGCTGCCATCCTTCAGTTTTGTCTCTTCCTTAAACTCCATTTTACATACCTTGTACTACCTTTCTACACCATAGCTCCCTATTTTCCATTACCATTCTTACCCTGTTATACGTTGACTGTTAAATTTCATTGTTTCACTGAATGTTTTTTCTGCTCCTTGTGCTGGTATGAAATGTATTTATATGGGAAAATATATATATGCAATATGTACGCATGCTATGGGCCAAACAGGCTTACACACATTTATTTTTTTGTAAACGAACAGGCCTTTGAGTTTGAGTAACAACAAATAGCATTTAAATAATACTTCTTTTTAATCCGTCACTTTATCAGAGAGAAGTCACTCTATTAAATCCCCTGTGGCTATGCAGGACTGTTGTATTGACACATTACAGGCTTATGCTACAAGCACAGCTAACATCACTGTAAGATCATTTAGCATCATTTACATCCACAGCTTTTCTTTACGCATTTATGTTTTTGTTTTTTTATCTTGTGCAATTTAAATCAGGAATCGTTTGGACAAAGTCTCTTTAAAGTGGTATAAAGCGATTAGTTGAGTTCCAGTGGTTGTTTGTTTAAGGGCTCATACAAGTGAAACAGGAAAATCACACCAGCTAATTACGACCGATGAGGGAGGACATTTATCAGACTATGCAGCTATAAAGCGATTCTTCCACGTCCTAAACTGAACATCATCAATGTAAGGCTGAACAACTGCAATCATATCAAGTATAAACACCATGTAGCACAATGTTTTGTGCAAAATGGGGTTTTAATCGATTTCACTCCAGTTGTACATAAAAATCACAATGTTTATCAGAACACCAGAAACAGCAAAATCCAAAGAGTCCCCATGTTTACCACCACGCTAATGAAAAAATATTTACATTACATTGTTGCCAAAATGGCGGTGTGTAATTTCTGTAGAAGATTAAGTTTCCATCTCTGAAACTGGTGTCTAGCCTATAAGCTCTGCTCTGTCAGTAAAACAGTTCAAAACTTCATTCCATTCCCATAGATTACTGTGCTTATTTTTCCAGTATACTGTATGTTCCAGTTTTCATCTTTGTGGTGTACATTAAGCATGTCTGGAATAAATGTTACCATGCATGGTCCAATCGTTGCCTTTTATGTGGGGTTTGTGTGCTGACAGCCAGAAAAAGGAGAGTTTACAGCCATGAAGCAGCTCTGAGAGGATCTACTGAGATAGATGCTAACATGCTCACAATGACAATGCTGACATGTTGATGTATAGCAGGTGTATGTTTACTATGTTCAACATCTTACTTTAGCATGTCAACATGCTTACAGAGTACAGCTGAGGCTGATGGTGAATGTATTTGATCATTAACAAAAATATAAACGTTTTACCTGAAAATGAAAGGATCAAGTCATGTCAAATTCATACTGATAGGAACATGAATAATATAAGGGCCAAATCTGATTGCAATCTAATCAAAATATCTCATTAAAGAACAAAAATGTCAACCTTAAGGTGGCACTTCAGGGAAACGCCAAAGTCGGTAGACTTTATCTTCTGGGGATGACGAATGTGTACAGAATTTAATGTCCATCCATCCAATGGCTGGTGAGGTGTTTCGGGCTGAACCAAAATGGTGGCCCAGCTGACTGACTTTGCCACCAGTGGGTAAGAAGTTGTGCCAGATATTAAGTGTACTTTTTGAACAGTTGTAAAACAAAAACAAACAAAAAATCACTGTCATCAATGATGAAAAGGACCAAAAAAGAAGTCATAATTTCTCACACTTACCTCTCATGCATGAGGAGATTGGACACAATAAGAGCTACACCCGTGGTTACAGAATAAAAGACCACATTTGTGTAGGTAGTATTTATACATAATGTTCAGCTTTTATTGAGACTGAATCAGAGAGATTGATTTTACTCTACATTAAGGCTGCCATCTGCAGTGCTGCTGTATTGGAGTGCACTATATTGGACAGCTGTTGCTCGTATAATATTTAAAACCCTGTACATACAGCAGCACACAAACACCATTTATCATGACTGCCACAACTATGCCTTAGAGATGGTTCTGGAAAAAAATGGAACATGAAGAATTCATAACAGATTTTGCACTTTTAAAGCTCCCCACACCTACACACTGCAGAGTAGCGGCCTATAACGTAACCCTTTCTTCTGCCATTGAAGGTAAGGGCTTTTCTCTGTTTCATATACAAACATTCTGCCCTTTAATTGACCAAAAAAATTTTGATTGTTTTGCTAAAAGCTAGGATAATGCCTATCTTTACACTCAAAAAGCCTTTTATCTCATCAATAAACATCCGCAGAGAAAAGCGATCAAGGCCCGAAAGTCATCAGACGAGCGAATCATCCCTGACGTTCACGAAATACTGCTTAAAATAGCCATTATTTCCACACAGATACAGAGGACCAGACTTGTGTCTTACATTTCAGCTGCTGTGAATACACAGACTTTGTGCTTGTCAGAAGTCAGTGTAGTGGGACCCGTCAAAGTGAGAGGATCTGGTGCTTTAGTTCTGCTTGGGTGGCGTTCAGTTTGAGTAGCTGAAATATTCAGGAGTTTAACACAAGGTTAGGGTCTGCAGTCTACTTGATGGCATGTGCATGTTTGAACCAAAAGTAGACTTCAGCACAGGATTTCCTTTCTAAATTAAGTAAGATATTCAAGGAAAGATGTAAATGCGTGTCTGTGTGCTGTAAACATTTTTTAAAAAAGCTAGAAAACATGAGGACATTTTATAGAAACTGCAGTCTGATCACAGTCTTCTATACTTTGTCTTTCTTTGTGAAGACAGCATCAAACAGAGGGAATGAGGACAAGAAACCAAATTTATCCTCTTCAGCCCATTGAAGTGAGCCTATTTTATTTGGATTCCAGTTGAGTAACCGCCTGAAGCTGCGAGACAAAAACACATTGATGTTTCTCACACGGCTGCCTTGCTTTCACATTTCTACACCCCGGCCAACTTGACTTTAATCAAACAAGTCAAACCTAGTCTGCAAGCATTCCCATCTCAGATGTATGCCTAGTTTCCCACCTTTAAATGCGTCACTTCCAGGTGGATGTAAATCAAATAGGAGGTTTATGATGGGCTCTGCCAGGTATACTAACAACAGGTGCAAAATGGTTTGAATCATTCAGTAGAAATTTAGAAGTAGTGCACTGAAGGCAACAGAAGAGGCTGGTTTGCTGTGGTAGACATTTCACCACTTCATACAAGATGCTTATTTCACATGCAGTAGCTCACTCACAGCTGGTGCCCAATGTACCAAGGCTGAGTCCTTGCTGCAAAGCTCTCTCTCTCTCTCTCTCTCTCTCTCTCTCTCTCTCTCTCTCTCTCTCTCTCTCTCTCTCTCTCTCTCTCTCTCTCTCTCTCTCTCTCTGTCTGTCTGTCTGTCTGTCTGTCTGTCTGTCTGTCTGTCTGTCTGTCTGTCTGTCTCTGTCTGTCTGTCTAATTAAAGGCAATAAAGGTGCAGAAGAACTTTTACCCTATAATCTCAGACATCCTATAACCTATGATTTAAAAAAGAAAATAGATGTGCTGGTAGTTAGTCGTTCATGTGAGAGCCAAACACACACATTTGATAGCTGACCATATTGTGCATTTCACTTATCTGACTGTTTGTCTAACCAGCAGCTGAAATGCTAAACATTGAATATTGAATATTGATTTGAATATTGAAGGCATCTCATCTTCAAATATGAGAAGCTATTTGGAATTTGTTTGAAAAAATACTTTTCGATCAATTATCAAAATGGTTTTCTTCCTGATGATTTATCACATTGATTGATTCAGCTCAAAATGTAAAGCCAATGAGGAGGTTCAGGTGCAGACCAGAAACGAACAGAAATGTTTGAATCTAGCTAAGGATTCACTATTCACTCTCTCTTTCTCTCATCCTGTCAATTCTCTAAAAGAGGAATGAAATGCAAATGCTTAAAAAATTGAGATATGGAAATGTAGCAAAAATACTATTAATTTTTATAACCCTTGCTGTGGCATCCTGGTGGTTTAACCTGCTCAGAAATAAGAAGGCCCAATACACTTTCCAACAGAGCTCAAATCATATAATTTAAAAAATAAAATGCTTTAGATGTTCAGTATGTAGTAGTGTCACACACTAGTTTGCACATACTGATATGAATAATTTATTAATTCACATTTTACAGCCCACAATGAATTATCCATCCTACTCCATCAATTAAAATGGACCCTTCAACTAAAAATCCTTCCACCTGTGAAAAAAAGTATACATCACACAGTCTCTTCATACTTCCTTCAGTCTCTCTCCGAGCAAGTTATTAATATAATTGTTTAAAATCTTGTTTTATTTGTTGGCAGAAGAGCACCCAACCACTAGCCCTCCATCTGTCCCACAGCTCAATACAAGTTCAGTAGTTCATGTTGGCCAAAATGTTGTTCCCATTCAAGAACTGGACCAACTGAATGTCCTTCAGCTCAGGAAGCCTCCAGGGTCCTCCAATCACTGAGCTCGGTCTCCTGGGGTTCCCACTCTATAAAAGAGCAGATCAATCCTGCTCCTGTGAAGATTTCACCAGGCCGGTGCTTTCAGTGAAAAGCGTAGAGCAGGAGGAGAATGGTGCAGACGCCGATCACTGTGCCGAGGATGAGAGAGTCCCGCCTCTTCCGCAGGTTGATTCGCTGGATGAGATTGTTGATGGTTGGGAAACGGTCTCGGAAAGTCAAAAGTTAAAGGAAGATCACAAATATTCGATATTCACAAATGTTTCATTTTAGAAAAAAAAACTCTATTTAAATTAGATTTTTTTAGGATATAAATCCACTGTACAGAAGAGCTTACTGTCTAAAAATAACATTGGATATCAGGCGTCGATCAAACAATTTCACTGTTGATGCAATGCAAAAACCAAGTGTGAAAATGTGTGAAGATATCAGGAACACTCACAAACAGAAGGATTCTGACTTCCGGCTTAAAAAGCAATTACTAATAAGACAACTGTTTGTTAATAATAACTTGAATGAGGTTGGTCTGGAGACTTGTTTAGTGTTAAAATTATAAAGAAAGGAATACCTTTCCATCATAGAATGCAATATGTGAGCATCGATTTCTGAAGGACTTGTGATTTCATAACAGGAAACTTTCATCTTCTAATCTATTGTGTGCTTTCCTCTACTTGTAGCACATAAGCAGCATAAAGGATACTGGCCAGCGTGTTGACCCTGCTCTGTATGGATTTCAGTAAGCCCCTTTGGGAGGTCATGTTCTCCTTGGTCGCCATGGCAATACTAAAGAGACAGAAAGAGAAATGAGTTGAGAAGTGACAATATCCTACATGTGGTTGCTGTCATTAGTAGTGTAAAGTGCCAGTGAGTTCACACATGATTAGAAATTAAGCAAGGTACAGTAAAACAGTAGTCTGCCAATCTTCATATCCTGTGAAGCAATCAAATAGACTATGTCTGTCTGTCTGTAGGCACGTCCACGCGACAAGGAAGGGAATCATTCTGGGTACCTACAGGAAGCGAGTGTGAGTCACCTAGGCTTGCAGAAGGAAGGTATAAAGTTCCTGTGATATTGTACCCCTCTTGCTCTCAAACTTGGGCCTCAGCAACTTTCAGCAATAGCAAAGTGCAGCTGGGCAGTTGGCAGGAAAAGTTTCAGGCTCTATGTTTGCCTTCTGTGGCATCCGTTACACACAATCAATAGCAGCTACTGAGCAGCCCTTTACGGTTGAGAGCATTTGGGTAAAAGAAATCCACTCAACAAAGTAAAACACTGACTTAAGTGTAGTGTTTATAAGTTTGAAAACAATTGGTCCAACCTTTTTTTTTTCTTCACTGCAAGTAGCATGATGTAATGCTTAAACAGCAAGGTGACAACCAGTAAGCACTGGCCACAGGGGACAAACTCCACCCTTCCCAGAGTGACAGCGCCCCACAGGGGCCGGGTCAAAACAGGGTAAATGAAATCAACAAGGTTGTTTACTCTTTTGGCGAGTGAAATTGATGAGCAGCAGGCTCAGAGAATGTGTGTGTGTGTGTGAGCTTGAACGCAGGTAGAGACAGAATTTGTCGCGTGTGAGTATGAGTATGTGGACACCCTCCACACGGGTGCGAGGGTGAGGTCATGGCATCTCCTGACAGTCCGCAGTCTTGGCCTGGAGCAGTGTTTTGGGGATCATGTTCCCCTCAGTCAGGAAGAAACACTTTGCTGACTCCAGCAACCTCCCCAAGCCTTTATCTCATTGTTAACCAGCTCATGAGAATCAGAACTGGAGGAGAAAGACTCCCTTCCTACACACACTGTGTGTGATCAGTCAGTGGTCGCTGTTTAAAAGTGACCTGGGCAGTGGTCTCAAGCTGTTAAGTTACCTGTCAAAGGAAGTCAGTTAAAGTCAATTTTATTTATATTACCCAAAATCAGAAATCTGATTCATAGGGGCTTCACAATCTGTTCAACAACATCCTCTATCCCAAGACTGAAGGCCCATTTGGATAAGAAAAATGCCAGAAGAAATAACCTTTACCTAAAGTATCAAATCCAAAGAAATGCTTTTCTAAATGCAGTGGTGGCAGAAGCTGAGAGAAGGGCTGTGGAAAATAAGCTGAGATTGGGGGAAAATGTACAAATAAAGGAAAGAAAGTAAGTAAACAAAAGGGGAGAAACACAGCATCGCCATTTCAGAGACAAAATCTACCAATCAGACCACTATTCTAGCCAATCCCACGGGTAGTCATGCAAGGACTGAAAACAGAAAAGGCAATGGGAGATGACCAAGGGAGGAAGATGGAAGAAAAACAGACTGAAGGGAGGGAGGGTAAATCCTATGAAACATATGTGATATTGAGAAAGAAGGAGGGAGCAGTGAGAGATGAAAGAATTGGGAGGAGTTAGTCACAGTCCCGTTTATTCTCAGACTATTTTATGTGACCAGAAGTAGTTTGTGCATTAAACTCACCCAGTTAAATCACCAGTACAAACAATAAGCAACGACACTGAAAAGTTCATTGATAAAAAAGGAAAGGTTCAACAATATACATACAAGCTCTGAGGAAGAAGTCAACCGTAACTCCTAAGACACATTACAGTAAGAAAAAACCATTAATTGGGCAAAATGATCTGGTTTCTGCACTGCTAATATCAGGCTGAAATCAAAGGTTGGGTATTGTAAAAATACATTTTAGATGAATTCAGCGACTATGGTTAGGCCTTTTGTCCGAACTCAAACAATTAAACAGTTTTAATTTGTTGCTCTTATTGGCAGCTGTAGTCTTTTCCATAACAATTGCTGCTGAGCCTCGTGGGCACAGTGGTATTTTACTTTTGTCATACCAAAAAAACACAATTCAACATGATTTCTTAGAACTTAGCTTGAAATATTTATGATTTGACCATATTATGGTTAAATTGTGCAGAAGTCACTCATGTTTCTATGTAAAGAACATTAATCTCATTAAAAATCTTTTGAATGCGAAAGCAGAGTGGTAGAAAACTGCAGCTCTGCCCACTCTTTTACTTTGCTTTTCAGATGATCTAGGCTGAGGTGTGAGATAGTGGTTACTGAATCAGGAGGCACAATAAACAAGGACAATATTTCTGCAGGTTGGCCCAAGATCAACATGACCTGTTAGGCTTGACATATCCAGGCCAGGTTAAGGTCTACTGAGGGTTTTGAGTCAGGCTAAGCTGGTAGATAAGACAACGGGGAAGGGGGATGGGAGCTGTCACATATACAAATATATGCGTTTCCATATGTGCAACACAGAAAGCAGGTCTTACCTTATTGTGTCATCCATCAGACGGTCAGAACTATAAACAAGGAGTGGGAGAGGGGGGGCGGGGAGAGAAAGAGAAAGAGCGGTTACTTATTGACATGAGGCAGTGTAGCAAAAACATGGAATGGTAAATGACGAGGGGGGCAGTCATCTGTATCAGTTTCAGATTGGTTGCGATCAATACTGAACTCTAATCAAGTTACTTGGTGACACTGAGCTGGACAAAGAACTGAATTAAATTTCATATCAATCTTATTAACTCCCACATTGTCACTATCTTACCAGTCTGGCAGAACACAGCATAACGTCATCTGAATTTCCCCACTAACATCAATGTGGTCTCGCCTCTGTGTCTATGTTGTCAACAACTGAAAGTAATATATGACATTGGTCACACAAAACACTAGATATATTTACAGCCCAAATCTGTAGTTTCAACTGCTAACAAATAACTGTAAGCTATTGTTAATTTCTTCTGTATAACCTCTAACCTCTGCATAGAATAGTAGTTATAGTTTATTTTCTCCTCATGGATGATTCCCACAATGACTAAGTAAGACTGGACTAAGTAGACCCTGAGGGAACTCCACTTCAGAGGTCCTGGAGCTTAATATTCTGTATAGTTACATTAAAGAGGGAGTGTCAAATGCCGACTTTTGTTCTACAGAGAATACTGGAAAGCACGCGCGCACACACACACACGCGCACACGCACACCTCGTGCTGCAACACCAGTTTCATGTCTCAGGTTGCTCATAAACAACAATGCTCTCAGCAGTTTATTCCCTAATTGGAATCAATTTGGATAATGTTCCAGAGAACTAAAGGAAACCAAACAAGCAAAATTGCAGGGATTGTATTTCATAGCCCAACATCCATTCAACAAATCCACATCCTCATTGTCATGCTCAATATGTGGCTTCTGTTAAGCTCTTAGCATGCTTACGTAGTCAAACAAAGTTACAGGAAGAGAGGGAAGGTCTCTCGAAGATTCCTACCAAAACCTTATCCACACTAGACCACAATCATCTCCAACCTTTACCTAGATCTTTTCTTTAGACCTTAAAAAAAGGACCAGTGTGTGGCTGTGTGCTCAGTGGCATCTAGCAGTGAAGATGCAGACCGCAACCAACTAAATAACAGTTCAACCCTATGTGAAGCCATCGTTTGGTTTGTTCATTCTGGGCTTTTGTAGAAACATGGCGGTTCAAAATGGCGGCCTCTGTAGATAAGGATGTCTCATTTTAAAAGGTGACAAAGACACAACAATTATACACTAATTAAAATATAGATAGGAATTTTATATTCAATTCATGCTAATAGATCCTCCTAGATGTTACCGACTGGACTTCAACTTGACCATCTCAAGGCTAATACACCAGTATTTTTAATCTCATGCCTGAACCCAACCAACCCCAACCCACAGTGCTCATGCCCATAAACACGATCCATAATGCAGCTTCTGATGATGCATACAATTGTCTGACTCCATCGACTCCTTTTTACCTTGGCCTTGAGAGAGTGCCATGTCGCTTTTAATGACATTATTTAATGTGAAGGTATTAATTTTATTAATTTTATCACATGGTAAACTTAAAGAGAAAGTTGGATGAGGATAAAGATCTCCTTACATTCAATTCTCTCTCTGCACTGCAGTTTTCTTTTTAAGTGAGGGGAAAATATACCATGAAGCTCTGCATGTGCACAAGCACACATGCATTGTTGGCAAGTATGTGCGCTGAGCTACCAGTTTTTTTCAGCTAACAGATGCTAGGTAGCCCTCAAAGGAGTTTCAAAGATCCAGTTTTTCAAAAATGATGAATACGAGGAAGACTTAATAATCTCATAAGAAAAACAAGTCGATTGTTACAGAAGAAGCACTACAAGGTTCAAAAATGCAACTTAAGCTTTGATTCAGGCAGACAAAAATGATAATATAACTACATAGCCAAGTAATACCATTGAGAGGTTCTAACTAAATTTGATTGTGGGCCACACAAGTGACCTTCACCGGGTCACTTATATGGTCAAGTATTGACCAACTGATTTCTCAAAGGGGAGACCATTTTCTGGGTAACATATTAACATAATCACTTTGAGACTGGTCCTGCAAATGACCTGTAATGCTAGGGACTGACCTCAATCAGTAAATGGGGATGAGATTAATTGCTGTAATCCCAATATTTACCTCATCTCAACCTCATTAGTCTCTGATTTCTACCTGCAGTTGCATGGTTACGGGTTAGGTCAGAGGGACTGCCATGAACAAGGGATGCTAATAAATGTCAGTAGAACGAAGTCAAAGAGATTCCTATGAGAGTGGACACTGAAAGGAAAACCGCACAGTCACGATTTGGGCTGGGCCGGCTTCTCGTTTCGGATCATAGTGCTGCATATGAGCACCAAACGCCTACTTGGCAGTAGTTTGAAATATCCTATCATATCCATCGTCTTTATAACGCTGAAATGAAATAATTTACAGGAATGAAATCACTGGATGAAAAGGGATTGTAACGATCTGGCACAAATGGATTGTAGGAGCATCATGCACAGTGGAGTAGGATGTGTAGGCTTAAAGAGGAAAAACAATGACACCTAACCCTTCTTCAGCCTTACATACAACTGACTGTCAATAAAAAATCCTACAAACACATTATGCTTATCTGATTAACTTCAGCCCCATGTGGTGAGGTGACAGCCACACAGCCACCTGACACTGGTCTTAAATGATGGAAGAAAAAACATCATGGTGGACAGACGAACGACTGACAGATAAAACTAAACCTTTAACTGCCTGCCGACGGTGTTCACCTTATAAATCATGCGCTGAAGAGCAAAAGAGAGAGTGCCTGTGAGCTGAGGTGAGCCTTGATTCATGGAGTTTTATATGCATAGATGAGATGGGGAAAAGATTTATGCTTTGTTCCCTCCATCATCAAGCTGCAGCTGTAGTGGTGAGGTTGATTGTCCCATCACGTTTATGTATATATGGCTTTCTGAGGTTTCAGCTTTGAGTGGGTTCCTTCCGTTTCCCTCAGTCAGTGGTGTTTTGCTGCGGTCATTAAATCGCTCATTAGCTCCAAGCTAATTGCCTTTCCCAGTGTAATGAATCAACCCACCCTGCCCACATGCTTCCTTGCCCTCTCTTGCCAACACATGAACATAGAAAAAGACAAGACTGCTTAAGGCTCACATGCATGTGTCAACGAAGAAATGATGTCTGCATTGGCAGTCACTCAAAGCCTAAATGACTTAAAAGATTTGAATCGAAATGATAACAGAATTCTTTTCTGTTGACTCGTCAATTATTTGAAGTGGTATTCTGAAAGAAAATACTTTACAGCAACCTTCTAAGAGTAATGCTCTGTCAGGTTGGCTTTTAAAGCAATATGAGGCAACTAATAGAATCAGCCAGGTAAACTGAAACATTAATTACTTTGCCTAGGAAACGGGCTTGCAAATCTTGGCAACAGTTGCAGAAAGCAAACTGCATCAGGAAAGAGGAAAACTGGTCACAAATCAAAGCTCAGAGCTGATTCAAAAATCCACTGCTACACACTCAACACACATTACACACTGTGAGATTCGGAGAGATGATCTTTACAGTAACGGTGCCATTAACTTTCATGGCTAATTAATATATACAAAAACCCAAGCATATAAAAAGTGCTAGACTCTAGAGGTGCAAAAAAGGCAAATGGTGGCAAAAACTGGGATTTTGGTAAACGCTGGGAATCTGTAATAACTAAGGACTAAGGATCTACTAAATATTCCTTCATTCTTTTGTTGACAGTCCTGCTGGTGGAGCCGGCCCTACACATTGCAACTGGGCAGCAGAGAAAAAGCTGTGGTGATGTAAAGCATCTGGCTGCTCAGAGATGAACATCAGTTAAATGGGAAGTCCTTGGGCAAGTAAGTAGCAAAACACTTGACTGGAATCAATTAGGAAAATGGTGCCTTCTTCCACAACAAAGTGGCAATAAATGGTACACAATCTTAATAATGTCTTTACTGGAAAATGCACTTGCAACAAATCATAATTGACTGATAAATATGAGCTTGTCAGTGATGATGGTTGATGCGCTCAACAAAACCTGTGTCTGTTAGGTGCTGAGGTCCATCTTCTAGCAGCTCAGTGATATCCAAAGAGAGCAAAGCACAGAAATGAACTGACCCAAAATGTGTCAGACACTTTCACATTCATGTTGGGTAAACCTCTAACAGAATCTCTAAACTTTCTGAATTGAATTTGAACTGTTTAGATCCCTTTGGTGAGCCAGAGAGAGCAGGGCGGTACTTTATCCTGAATCCTCAGAGCTCCTCTGCTGATTACATTAGCATATCAGGGAACTGGCAGTTCAGATCGAACTTCTTAAAGTGGGCAACAAGCCAGGGAGAATAAAAGCAGGGGTCTCAAACTTGGGGAAAAGAAGAGAGAGAGAAGGAAAACAATGTAGTGAGAAAGAGAAAGAGGCTGCAGCAGGTGGCCACTGTGGCAAGTAAATAATTAGGTCAAAATGTTTCAGGTAAAACTTTGATGATGAAGGATCCAACAATATACCTATACTTTCAGATTATTGCCAATTGTGTATTTTATCGCCAACATCGCTTTTTACAATATATAACATGTTAAAAATGAAAGCAGAAATTGAAGCTACCCAGAAGTGGGTAGGGTTATACTGACCCCATAATTATCTTCTATTAATATAAGTCCATTTGAGCTTTTCAATCATTTGAAAGGGGAATAAACAGTTCTGGTTTAATCATAGCTACTGACTGAACAACATGTTTTTGTGCCTAAACCTTAAATTTGTGAACTGTTAAATGGTTGAAGCTCAACTTATAAGCTGTTGAAATGTTAAAAACACTCCATGAAGTATCCAAAAGAAAGTGGAACCGAAACAGGATGGCTATGACAAAAAACATAATAGTTTTTTACATTTTATTATACTTAAGACTAACTTTAGTGGCATCTGGCAGTGTAGTTGCAGATCACAACTACCTCACTTCCCCCTCCATTTCCTAGTGCGAAGGAGAAACTACAGTGGCTGCAAAACCTGCCAAAAATGCAAACGGCCACAGACAGTGTTTAGTTTGTCAGTTATGGGCTACTGTACAAACATGGCGGTTCAACATGGTGGACTCCATGGAAGACGACCTGCAGCATCTTTAGATATATACGACTCATTCTAAAAGGTAACAAAACGTAACCATTCCTCTATTCAGTTGATTATAATGAAAACATACTTATGAATATTATATTACAGATCCTCCTAACACACTGGACCTTTATGGTTTTTAAAACTTTTAGATGCTGCATGAATGCATACAAAGTAATTCTAAACTAAACTTGCAAGCAAATATAACTCTATAATATCCAGTCCAACCACCCCAACACAATTTAGACCCAGAGGCTCATCAACCCAAGACAACTGGGGAATTATGCACATTGCTAGATAGAGCTTTCAACAACTGGTTTAGCATGAATTTGGCAGGCTCAGATGTCCTCAGACAGTGTACAGTGCCAGGAAGTGATCCAGCCTTGGAACCAGAGGATTGTTGAGTCTATTGCATGCAATTCCAATGGAATTATGTTAGTTAATGAGAGTAGACACAGATTTGCTGTAGGCAGCGTGGACTGATTCTCTAGTACCAGAGCTGGAAGAGTCCACTTTATGAAAGTAAAGAGGCAAGAGAAAAAAGAAACAAATGTGTGTCAGTGTAAGGTGTAAATTTGCTTTGCTTCACACTGGCACCACTGCTGTGGTAAAAAAAACAATTCTGTTTGACAGGAAGTCCTTATTGGAATGACCACTGCCATTAGAGCTGGTCCAACATGAACTTTTAATGGACCTACCCCTCCCTCCCTCTAGATTATTCATGAACACTGACCTTTATGGCACAGAGAAACGGAAAAACAGACATACAAAGAAGGAGAAAGAGAAAGGGATGAGCTGAACTCGCACACAACAAGTCTGACTGATGTGGAACTATACAAGATTCATCACTACCAACAAGAACTAGAGAGGAGGCTATCTTATACATTAAAGTCTGTCTCATTGGGCTCTGTTGAGAATTAATGCAGGCTGGCATGTACTCCGCCCACAGGAGTCATTTGTAGATTAACTGGAAGGGACTTGTTTTGGGTTTTTTTTAACCATTGGAAAGTGATTAGTCTTAGCTGGTCAGTTTGGCAATGCTGGAACCATCACATGCTGATATATTATAGACTCACACACAGAGTCACGATACAATGCATCCTATGCTGCGTTTGCAAATTTATACCAATACCAAAATGACAACCCCACAGACTCTCTTTAACATGGTGTGAATATTAAATATTTAATTAGATCCAAACAGATTATGTAAATTCACATATGGGAAACTTCATCATTCATAAAATTGTCTTTTGAAAAGAGAGCATCAAAGACTGTGTCAGGAATATCTCCTCTTTAATCGAGTTATCTGTGCTCTGCCCTCAGTAAAACTTCAAACCACTGCGCTGGCCGCTAACACATTTTAGTCCTTTTCTCTTAAGGCCCTCTTTCCTGTTTTATGGCTCTAATAGGATCAATCAAGCGTAACTTGATCCTCATCTCCAATCTCCTCTTTCCCCTCCCATCTTTGCCAATGGTCTGGGGAAGTCCTATAATATGGGTTGTGGTTTAATAAGATTATTTCATTATCAATATTGTGATCAGTTGAGCTGGATTGGCACAAGAGCTTGCCTGCTGGGAATGCAAGTGGCTACAGCAAGCCGGAGGAGGTTCAGCACAATGCGTCACTGGACAACCCTGTTCTCAATTCACATTTCTGAGCTTATTTTATCTTCAGTATTCAGTTTTGGTCATTTGGAGACCCATTTGAATAAATTAGGTTGAATCTTAGAATTTCCTGACACCACATTATCGAGAAAAGAAATACTACAAGTTACACAGCAGATACATGTAACCATATGACTGTTTTTTCAGGGCGACTCCCTTAATGACAGGACAGGAAGAGTGATTCTCTCTCTCTGCTTCACTGCATGAATCCATTAAAGCATTCACTTGGGTCTTTCCTAGTAGTGTCATAGAGACACAATGCGACTTGACACTTGACACAATGTTGGAGAATCTATGCAACTACACTGACAGAATGCTACTGCAATTAACAAGATTGCAAGATTTGATACAATTCACAATACAGGGTTCATAATAAAATATAATAATCTTTTTCATCTTCAATTTGAATCTTCACATATTGTATCGCATCTTGCAATATAGTGAAGTGCACCAAATCCCATGTAATACATCTTGGATTAACATAGGTTGCATCAACCCATCAGTTTCATCACCATTTGCTACAGATCTCTTGTTACATTACTGTCACAAAGCATGGCAGCTGTTACAGAAACAAGGCCCAAAGTTGACTGAAGTGGTACTTTACAGGGTGTTTCTAAGTCAGACTTCATTTAGCTGATAATGTTGATGCAAATTAATAATTTAAGGCATAAGCCAGCCATAAAATTAAAAATCTAAAACACAAGAGTCCTGAAAATTGCCACTGCTAAACCCTAAAAAGTAATATTGTCTCTAGATGTGATAACATTTAACAACAACACACATGTCTGGCTATATCCACACATGAACATACATATGTACAAGCCTATTAGGAAACTGTATTAATTGTGGAAGAGTAAACATTAGCATGTCAGAGCAGGTAATGTCTGTTCTGAAATGAATGAAGAGGTCTTTGATGGCGAATAATTGAGTCCTTTCAGGTTGAAACAGAAAAACAAACATCTAGCCAAAGAGAGAATCAATCAGGCTGCTTTGTATTTGTTAGCCATGTCCAAATTATCAGATGGGATATTCAAGCCTGAGCAAAGTTAAAAGCTCTTCTGTGGTTTATTTGGATTTTGAGTGTTTGTGTGTGTGTGTGTGTGTGTGTGTGTGTGTGTGTGTGTGTGTGTGTTTGTGTGTGTGTGTGTGTGTCCGTCCTGCTGACATCCAATTTTACTTTACACACAGGGTGCCTCTCACACCTCTCACACACAGGTACACATATACAGATTTTGCAAACTTTGCTACGTCATGCTGTTCTGCAGGGCTCGAGAGTCAGCCAAATGATAGTAGGGCACTAATGAGGTTGCTGGCAGATCACGGTTTGAACTACTGTGTCAGAATGAAAAGTCTAAGTATGCCTAACTTAACAGCTTTGAGATGCAAAGTTATGTAATAGAGTGGAAAGTTGTTTTGTGAATTAGCTTATTTTGAATCATGTGTCACGGAAATAAAGTGAAAAGTCCACCCCACAGCTGAATCGAAACCTGTTACTGCCAATATTTTCTTCCACACAGTGTTAAGTAAAGCACAAAAGGTTTGTCTTTATTAGCCAGGAAAGCACTCAAGTTAAAAAAATTTAAGTATACAACAAACTCTAGATTAATGAACGTAACATTATGAAAAAGTGACTTCCGATCTGCTGGAGAGAAAAGGCATTAAGAGGTAAAGTGCCAAGGGGTGCCAGATCTTGACAAGCGAACATCAGTAACCAGTGTTATTTCAAATGGCTGTGCTGCACCATCAAGATGAGTTATCCCAGCTTTGATTTCTGGAAAGCTGAGGCTACTGCTTTGCCAGGAAAGGCTGTACAGCTCTGGAAAAATGGCAGCTATATTCTGCTTTAAACTGCTGGGATTTATATGCCAAAACGAATAAATATCCTTAAAAAATTTTTAAAAAATTAAAAACTTTGAGTCTTGATTACTATACATTCTTCAAATATGGTATAGAAAGGAGGTGGGAACTTACTTTCTCAGGTGCTCGTGCTCCTTTAGGAAAAGCTCCGTTCTTCTATTGTTGACCCCGGAGCCACTCTTGTATGTCCTGAAAAGGGCATGCAGATACACTGGTTAAACATTTTGAATGAAGTTACAAATTAAAGAAAGTTATGGGACAATATTTGCTATTTGTGAAATATAACATAACATTTGAAAAACAGTGAGAGAATGTACATTTTCTGCCTTCAGTCAATGATAAGTTATGGCATCTAAGTCAAAAACATAAAAAAGATCCAGACTTCACAACCATACCCCGGATACCTGGAAATAAAGTCTTATTTCAGGGATCCTGACAGACGAAGCTGACAGTTAACTGACAGTCGACAGCCTTGAGCCTGATCACAGGCTGTAGCTTTCGCAGTCGCACCAATGAGTCTGTTCATATCAGTGGGCGTCAGAATCACTCGCTCGGGGAAAGAGCTACCTGAATGGCTACCCAGACATTTTTCCATCACCACCACCTTTTCTTTTCCTCATCCGCAGTCAAAAGACCAGAGCTGAAAACGGTTGACTAGTTTTGACACACGTGGCCTACAGCTCTTTATCTTACTAGCTCAGTTTGGCTACTTTTTTTTTTTTTTTTTTTTTTTACTAATCCTTGCTATATTAAATCGGATCCACTGACAAAAAGCACTGGCATAACTGCTGTGTACACCATTTTTTATGAAATAGCAGTCAGCGCCAATACCACTGCATTCCCTCTACCTGCTTTACAGTAAAAGCTTTCTTGTGGTTCACCAATGGAAAGCTCTTAATGTGAAGCAAGCAGCAGCAGCAGCAGGAAATGTTCGGTTAGTAGTAACTTAACAGAGAACAAGTATACTTGTAGTAAACCAAATCAGAAAACAGGCTATTGCCGGTTGGTTAAAAGCAAAAACAGGATGGTAGGAGTGAAACAGACCACCTTGCATTATATAGTTACTCTTCTCTGGTCATTTGCATGACCATGCATGTTAAACCAGGAAGTTTACTGAAACAACACAACTTGGAAGGACAGAGATGGTCATCTTGTTCCCAAGCAGAGCCATGCATTGTGAGCCAGTCTGGTTCTTCCCTCCTCTAAAGCTAGCAGTGGAAATGAGTAAAATCACAGCTCAACATGCCACAACACAGCTAAACATCCCATACTGGGCAGTGGGAAAGGGCTAAAGGAGGTGCTCGGCTTCTGGTTCAAAGCAAACAACAGTTCTAGGACGGCAGCCTAGAACGGATAATAAACTATTGATTTTGATGGCTTACAATTCTTATACTACTCTATTGATTATCTATGTAAGAGACCACTGATTCTATCCACACATTGATAGCATTGTACAATCTCAGGTTAATGAAGAAACAGAAATGAAGCGATGTGCTCTATTAATGAGCTATCAGGCAGCAAAGCAGTAAAAGTAAATGGATGGGTTGTTATACCATTCACAGAGCGAACATATCACACCCATTCTCTTTTGCTTGATGCAACTGTAGCTATCAGCATTGCTGAACAGCTGACTCCCAGTGCTCTCCTGGGTTTCTGCTCATTTAACACGGCCCCACCCTCCTGTTGGGCGATAACGAGATAAAGAGCAGGGAAGGAGGGGGGACGGTGAAACATAAGGGTATGCAGACATACACCATAAACATCCTACCCCACCCAGATCACCGCAAGCAGTCCATGAACAAATGTGCCTACTTCATCCCCAGTGCGCCATCCAAAGCCATTGAATGGAAATACTATATTCAGTGCACACACAGCACACTACACAGTGGCTGCCTTGAGACCAAGCTGGCCGCCTGACTGGCAGAGCTGATGTCTTTGTGGGGCAAGAATTTCCTGTACCGACAGCCAGCTTCATCACTTCAGCAAGGCTTTTTAAAAGGGCACCAATGTAAATCACAGGCAAGCTGTCATTTTTGTTGCTGACATTTAAAATGAAAGCAGGAGCACAGGGGGCATTCGGTCTGAGCTCAGCTGCGCTCCATTCTACGGTTTTGAATGGTGTAGCTGTGTCTGTGTCTGTGTGTGTGTGAGATTTTGATAAAATGTCTTATTGCTCATTTACGTGCTTGTATAAATGAGACAGTGTGCACTATTTCTTTTAATAAGTATGGATTTTTTGTGTGTGCAGTGTAAACAACACGGACACACATAAAAATGTACAGAACAGGGTCCTGGCCAGGTTTACTACATGACCAAGATCTCTACTGCCCTCTACCTGACAAAAGGGACAAAGGCTCAGCTGCAGCATAAACATCTATCATTGTATACATGGACGAAAGCCAACAGATCTCAGAACATTTTGCTTTCCAAACACAACTCAATCCAGAATATATTAAGTTTAAAAACTGTGAAACAGGTTTATTATCATGCTGTTGTTATGATGCAAGTTCTGAACTATTTCAGTCTTCCAGCTGTTCAGGATAAGGCTGCTTTCACATATTCTCAAGTCCTAGCTTATCACGTTCCCATGCCCCATCAGCAAAGATAAGTGAGGGAGGTAATGGCTTATTGCTATTCAAAAGAAATTCTCTCGGTACGACTCAACGTCTCATTGCACTGTGCCGTAAAAGCAGCAGTTGTAATTCCTCTACCTGTAAGTTCAGATGGTTCCCTCATTAGCGGGCCCTGGGCACATTAGTCATTGTTAGGCTGCACACCGGGTCAACAACACCGGCTCATTTCTATGCATTAGATTCATCAGCACTGAGCCCATTAGTAGGGTCAGTGGCACTCCTTAGTGTTGTGATTTAATGAGAAGATTGAGTGAAATGTTGCATGTGGTGCTGTCCTCATGGGATGTTACTAAATGCGTAGACAAACTGTTCAAATTAGATTATGTGTAGCTGCGACTATAAATTATCATTAGATAATAACAGCTTGGTGGTGCACTGATACAATTAGTTATAAAACAGGTTAACTTAACTTTGTTCATTTACGGATAAAGAAAGAAGGCTGTTGAGAGGAGAAGTGGCATGTTACTCTTCAACTCAGTTGCTCAGTGATTAGCACCTCGCCTCACAGCAAGAAAGTCCGAGTACAGGTTTAAATCCCAGCTGGGGCTGCGTGGAGTTTGCATGTTCCCCTTTCTTGTTTGCGTGGGTTTCCTACCGGTTGCTCTGGTTTCCACCAGCACCAAAACATGTATATTAGGTTAATTCTCTAGTCACTGCCCTTGACCAAGGCACTGGCTTAGAAACAGAATTGGTCCCAGGTGCTGCACAGTGGCTGCCCACTGCTCCTAATACTTTCCCTAAGAAAGAATTTCCCTACAGGGATCAATAATAAACAGCTTAACTCAGTCTTCTGGAAATTCATTCATATACAAAAATAAATAATCATTCTTTAACTTTGGAATTAATCATACAATCATACAAATAACGGCAGCAATAACAACAAGAACAACAATAATACCAGTAATACTTTAAGAATAAGTATGTGTGTGTATGTGGTGTTATCAAGTCTTTAACAACACCGTTAGAATAAAATTTTAAGTTGCACTCTGAGATCTTAATGAGAAAGAGTTATGATCTACCGTAAAGTGACGGTGAGGCCTATGGAACACGTATGACTGTGTGAGGTATCTGCAGGCTATCTGCAGACTCGTTGGATGGAGGGGGATCAATAGGAATCCTGCAGTGCTCACCGTATGCTCACTGCTGCGTCTTACAGATCAATAAGCCATTACAAAAAAAACCCAACAGGAGTCATGGTCTGGGGGAGCCTTCATCTCATTTCAATACACTCACTCACAACTGAGCCAATCTGAGGAGAGGACACACTTTCTCAATACAAGGCCAAAGAGGCCATGAATCTTCTTACATTTTAATGGCCAACATTTTCCCAGAGTGTGCCAAGTAGAAGTCAAGGTTCAACTATCCCTCCAAGGAATTTTTTTCCCTTCATTGTCACTAAGATCAAACACAAGTAATGCATCACATAATATTTGTTTTGTATACAGTATCATGCACAGTTTGATGTGAGCAACACAATGAGAGACTGTGTGCTGGCCATTTACTGAATGAGTTATCAATACGTCTGTGCATTGAACGGTCAAATTAATCATAAAGGTGGTACTCACTCAATGTCTTTCCTTACAGATCCTAGCAGGTCTTCCCTTTCCCGTATGGCCAAAAAGTTGCCTTTGGTTTTGTGGAATTCATGTGTGTAATCCTGCGTACAAAGCAAATTAAATTTAGAATGAAGAAGAGGTTCATTTGGAGAAAACCTAAAACAATAAATGTAAAGAAAATACATAGAAGAGAATAGTAAATAGATAAGCAAAAAGAATAAAGGGAAAAAACTAAGAAGAATAAGAGGGCAAACCTGTAGGATGTCTCTGTGTCTCTGGAGTGTGTGCATGAGTGCAGCATTGAGAGAAGCTGTGCCCGGTGCGTTGGTGTACTCCGCCATTTTGTCATTCACTGCTGTCAGCTGACAGAGAGATGGAAAATGAATGGATGGACAGACAGAAGATAAAGACCCACACAGAGTCCCAATACAACAAGCTGCACATAGTAAACACGATAAACATACAACATGCACCACTTGGAGGATCTACAATTTTTATTACATCGTTCATGGCACTTTATAGGGATCAATGCATTGTATCTTTTTGTGATCAGACCAGCAGAATATTTCTATTATAACGTAGCTGCTGTTTTTGATTTACATCTCATGTACTCGTGAACTTCAGAAATGATACTGTATAGTTAAATTCTACTCTTCTGTTGTGATCTGTTGTTGTTTACATAGTCTACCTTTAAACTGCCTCAGGAGGAATGAAAGAAATATTATGAATCCTAAATCTTTGAGTTGAACTGAATACATATTAATACATTTAAGCATTACCAGGTCCAATGTGGACAAGTAGAGCCTACAGTCTGCTCTTTAGGTGATGAAAAACAAGCCATAAATCTAATGCTGTTCTTATTAGAGTCTTTTTGCTGGCCTTTCACGGGCCACTGGCCCATGAGAATTTACTTACTTTGGCCAGCAGCTGTTCAATCTCCACTGACATGGTTTCAAACATCCTGTCCTGGGTAGAGTTGTTTAACAATGGGGTGGTGTCTGACCTTGAGGAGGAGAAACAAAGAATGGAGAGCAATTTGATGAAAGCTGTATGTTTGTACAATTTTTTATTAATGCTGCAAAATAACATTTTTACTGGTTTCTTCTGGCTAAATATTTAAAAATATACTGTTCTAATTTGAGTTGTTTCGCAGATTGTGTGGTTCAAATAGTGTACACTTTGTGAACATTTTTGGCAGGTGTGAAGTCCAAATAAAAATAATAAATTAATAAATAATTAAAAATGTCTTAATAACACCATCCACTTAGCAACCAAAGTATGTATGACCTAAGACAATCCTCTGGGAAACATACAGTACTCCAGGTACTACATGGGTAGTTATGGTAGTTTCTTAGCTGGGTAGTATTCAGTTAATGTGTAAGGATGTAAACTGGTTGTTGAATGGGAGATCAAACCAGCACCACTTGCAAACAAAGAATCTTTCATATGCAGATGGCTGTTTCTAGTCAAACTTTCCTCCTTACAGCTCAGAAAGCAGTGGCTTAATAAGCAAAGGAAACAAATATGCAGGATCTCTATAGGGAAGTTCTCCGTCACATGCCTCCCTCCTAGGTTATTACAGCTAGGGAACAACCACACAGAGTTGGTACGGATTCAATGTATTGTTCATAGACACTTCCTTCCTGCAGCAAACACCTTCCTGTGCTAGCAAACCTCCTACCACATGTCCAGGCACTCTGATCACTACAAATCGGGCCACATCGTGCACCTAAATGATCTTTGAGATTGTTAAACAAATGTTGGGATAATTTTCGTGATTTTTTGATCACAGACAACCCCTATTATAGATTATTCCCTTTATATAGGTTTTAGGTAGGCATCCTTTCACTAGCACACATGGAAGGACTTTAATTAATTAGGGCGGCAGCTAACAATTATTTTCTGTATCAATTAATCAGACCAATAATAATTTGGTCTTTAAATAAAAAACAATAGTGAAAAATGTATATTATCATTTCTGCTTGAAAAATTACAGAAATGATAAATCGATTACCAAAATAATTGCAGATACATTTTCTATGAATCGTCTATTTGATTAATATAATAAATAATAAATAATCCTGTTTCAGATGTCAGATTACTATTTTAGCCATCACATCAAGGGAACTCCACCTACAAATCTCAATCAGGTGAGATGTGTCCTTGCCTTCATTAACCTAATATTAGTCAGAAACACTTTAACCTCTAAATATATCATAACCTGTATGTCTGATAATCTACTCAGACTGTTGCTTTGTCGGTCGTTGACTCTGGAGGTGGGACAGAAAACTTACGAGTCTCCTCGACGTCCATCCCTGGAGCTGCTGTAGCTGGTGCACAGTTTACTGAAGGAGACCAACTTCAGGTCAAGTTCATTCTCCAGCTGTCTGGCCTGCTTTCGCAGATCTGTAACACAAGAAAACACACAGAACAAAAACACACAGAACAAAAACACACAGAACAAAAACACACAGATCGTTTTTAATTCGTCCAAAGTAACGTTATGAGCACAACAACGCTGATTAAACCTGCACCAACTGAGTAAGCTAAACGAGCTGCCTTGCTAATCATTAACATTACAGTTACCATCTAATGATAGTGACAGTAAGAGCTGACCCCAGGTGTTCAGAGGGGGACGCAGACTGAGCAGCTTCATTAACAACGTTAACTTACATGGCGATGTGTTAGCTAGCTAGTCGTTGTAGGGACACGTATGTTTAAACCGGGGACGTGAGGGACAAACGCGCCGTCACCCACACTGGAAAATGAACTGTTGACAACATGAATGCTGTACTAGATGTTGCTACACACACTGTTTGCTGTGAATCGAGTGTAATTTAGCTCCCTTACCTTCCCAGTAGTTGCTGCTTCCTATCCCTGCCATCTTTGTTGTTCTGGGACGTCACCGAGTTCCGGGTCTGGGTCACGTGTCAGGAGAAGACGTTTCAACTTACGTACCAAACACAGGTGACGTGTTTTTATCGCCCTCAGCTGAGCCTGTGAGGCGGAGCACCACCCAGGCTCCACATGTGTCACCGCCATGTGTACAAACAGCGCCGCCTAGAGGTCATTTTTAAGGGCTTTTACAATAAGTTTAAAGAAGTATCCTGTTGGTTGAGAAAGAAAATCTTGAAACATGCGATTATATTATTGTATGTATACTGTCAGACTGTGATTTTTAATATTACTGCCGTGTTATGTACTGTAACTTAATAGCTGTATTTATCTTGGTGTATTCACTTCACTCGGTTCATTCTGTTAATGCTGTTCACACTGCTAGTAGTACATACATATATATATATACATATATAATGTTATTTTTTATATCCCTGTACATATGCACATTACTCTGCACTTTACTGCTTTTTGCACTTCTGGTTAGATGGTTAACTGCATTTTGTTGTCTTAGTGCTTGTACTTTGTGCAATGGCAATAAAGTTGAATCTAATCTAACTAAGTTAAAACTATCAGGGTTGGGAGGGTTACTTTAAAAATGTAATCCAATATAATCACAAATTACCTGCTAAAAAAAATGTAGTGAGTACCCTAATCAAAGTATCAAAATATTAAAATAATGCAACCTGATCATTTTCTGTTGCTTTTGGTTTACCTCAACACCAAGCATGCAAATAAAGATAAGGGAAAAGAAATATCAATAAGTACAGATGCAAGTGTATTCTATAAGACAACAGAACAATGGAAGCTTAGAAAAGAAGTAGGAAATGAAAAGATATTTAGCATCAAAAACGTGTCCTGTGCTCACGTATTTTAAATGACAAATTGATGTATTTTACAATTGTTATCTTACTAAATTATCCCTATTTTTACTAAAGGTAACTGTAATCTGGTTTGTATCCTGAACTCAGTTACATGCAATACTCAGCAAGCCTGAAAATCACTAAGAGAAATGTTAAAGGTTGTTAATATGTTAATATTGCATCATATAACCAGCAGGGAGTATTACAGAGCAGTTTGTCAAAAGACTACACTTGACCCAATCAGCCTTTCATATTTTAACAATAATATTTGTCATCTTTTGATGCAGATCCTATAAATCCCGCCCTCCCAGTACAGCTTCTTTTTCCAACATCAAGGACTCTTCGGCTTGACAATCTAATGAAGTGTCACAAAACGATACTATCGAAAGAATGCAACACAAAAGCAAGAGAGAAGTTGTAAGATGTTTTATTGTTTTGAGTTTTTGTGCATTTTCATGGTTAACACGAATTGCATTTGTTTTCCCATTCACAATTGGCAAACATTATTTACAGCTGATTCCAGTTTGTATAAAATCTTCTCATCAACACTGCGTGACCCTGACACACGCTCAACTTTCAAAATTCATACACACGCACTCAGATACAGTATAAGAAAGAAAAATATACAAAACTGTCTCTCTACACAGATATCAGGTTTAACTTGTGGTGATGACAGCTGCATTTGTTTAAAGGAGAAGAAAATAAATCTCTTCTCAAAGTAACTGGAAACCAAGGCAAAGTCTTAAACAAGCTCATATGTGGTGAAAAACACGCATAACATTCCCAATTTAAGATCTGATTTTAATGATCCAGTGCAAGAACTTTAATTCAGTTAGATTTTAAAATACATTTAAACTAAATTTATACCACAATGGTTGTTATGTACTGAGTAGCTTTAAAGGTTTTGTGAGACAAAAAGGTCTCAACTCGAAAGGTCAGTTACATTTCACAGTCGAATGGATTGCAATCTATTTGCCCTTTGCTTTACGATAAGTTGAGAAAAGTTGGGAAATAGGAATTTCTTTGCACTGGACCTTTAAATCATGTAGTACAGGTGGCTCTGGCATGGATCATTAATGGACGGACAACCCTGGTATGACTTTTGCATTCCAAAGCATTGTTTAGCTGTGGGAATAAAACCAGAATTGATATTCCTTGTTGTGAGAAGTTATAGACATGGTGAGAATGCACACAGACGGGGCACAGACTCAATGTGACATGCATGAAAGTCAGTACAGAAATTGCCCTACAACAAAACCTATAGTTTAAAACAAAAATACATTCTTCTTATGATTACATAGTTTGGAGATTCATAGTTGTTTTTTCCTGGCCAATGATATAGGTCAATCCTTGCCTTCTATTTAGTGCAAGTGACTGATGCATTAGAGAACCTTGCACTAACTGGGAAGTGTTTCATTCAAGCATTTCATTGTTAAATTCTCCCTGATGCTTTAAAGCTTTTGATAAGCTCTCTCTCCCGTTGTGATTTTGGCCAAAACTCCCAGGAAAAATACAAAAACTACTGAACCCAGGCCAGCCAGCATAGAGTCAACTGTGCAACGTTCCTACCACCTGAGTATAGGATGGATAATATTCCAACATGGACCAAGTATAATCTTTTCACTATGTTGCTGCTTTCTGTTACATACTAAAGCCCAAGCGGACTTAAAACTTACAGAAGCCAAGGCACAGTATTGGATTCAGTCTCCAAAAGGCTCGGACACTTCAAATGTGGCAATGCTGTCTTGAAAAGAATCATTTTTTAATTTTATAACTTAATGCAGTATTGAAAACAATGCATCATATCAGTGGGGAGGTTGTGTGAGATTAAGCACTTGCATCCAGAGTTCATTATACAACCAATAAAGGACAGTTTATTTGGACTGATCGGGTGGAACCCCTTAGCCAAGCAGGACAGGTAGTGGTCTAAAAAGAGCATTCTTGCGTGGCTCGGAAATAAAAGAGCTGTGGGCCTCAAAACCTGGACAGATGAGGGCCACAGTGGAACAAACCTATTTCTCTTTTCCATCACACTGTTTGTCTTTTTCCTCCTGATCCAGTCAGGTAGAGATGGAGCAAAAAAAAAAAAGCCCATCCTTCAGTCCAGACACCAGCAGGATTCTCTTTGTATTAATTTAGTACCACTAATAAGTGAGTGGTGGGGAGTGAGGCCTCAGAACTTGATGGTATAACAGAACAAAGTGTCTTTATCGCTCTATTATCTCAGACATAAAGAGAGACAGATGCTGCCTAGAGTTCAACCGGTTCCTTGTTGACCAGGGGTTAAATTAAAAAGGGGAGATCAAAATAAATGTGGAGCCAACAGCCAAATTAGTGCAACACTTCTCAGATTTTGTTGGCATACAGCGTCTCCTCATCGCTTTCACTCTCGTCCTGAAACTCGTGGGCAAGTAGCGACTTCTTGGAGCCCATAGAGGTGAGCCGAATCTCATCGTCATACTCATCTCGGTGCTGTCGTAAACGGTGGAAGCCGTCTTTTTGGCGATTAGACTTTGCTGCGCACACACACCAGATGATGCACGCCGTCACCACCAATGCTGTCATGGAGGCAGCTGCAAGGAGGGAGAGAAATACATGACTCATCATGTCTGCATACAGTTTCTAGCTGGGCGAACATTACAAAGGCTATTATAACATCACACATCTAACAACGGAGTAATCAGATTCCCATTTAGTTTTGATGATTAAGCACACTAAACATGAAATTGTCGCATTGAAGACACTAGGAGTTCAGTATTGACAAGGACAATTGTTTCTTGGACTCTGCAAGAGTTGAATCGTAAGAGCTACAAAGTATGTTAACTGTTAAAAGGTTTTTAGCAACATTGAATCAAGACATCGACATGAAACTAAAAGTTGGAATACTCTGTTAGTTTTATGTCGACATGTCACATAATGCATATAGTCAACACTGGTTACAACAGGCCTTTCATCCACATGCTTACCTGCACTGGCCACCACAAACTCTCTGGGCAGGCCAAAGATGCTGTTATCCATGTCAAACTCAATGATGATCGAGTTAGCAGCTTCATAGGAAGACACCACCACCTGCAACACAGGAAAAAATAAATATTCAGTAAGCCTCTGAGCCCTCCTGAAACATTGTCAGATTTCATTAATGTTGGGAAGATGACTGACTGTATAACAGCAACATTTCTAAATCGGTGAATTCTATGTCAAACATCAGAATCAAACTCTTTCTTTCTGTACTTATTTTGGATGTGGTAGCCTATAAATATAAACTGCAACCATTTTCGTTCAAATAATGAAAGGTTATTGTTTTTGTTCTTTTACTAAATTTACACCTTTACTAACTTAGACGACACTCGAATTGCAACAACAAAAAGAAAACTTTACCACATCTTATCCATTCTGACTATTTCTCCAAACAGCTAAAAAGACATTGAGCTGTCTGTTGAAGCTCCCTACAGAAGAGGGGTTGTTAATTGCCTAATTAGCAAACCTCATTTGCAGGTGTGACTGCTTAGTATAATCTGCTGCACCTTGTCTTTATGTCTAAAATAGGATTTGAGTGCTGGCTCATAAAAATCAAAAATTACTCTGCTATCTTCTGAGAGGTAAATCACAAGAATCTCAGCATTCACTTTTTGTAACTTGCTTGACTTTTCTCCGTAACCAGTGAAGTGTCTCATTAATTCATTTATTTAAGTGCAGTTAAAAAAAAAAAAGGCGAAACTAGACCTAAAGCTCAGGAAACAAGGATTTAAACCATGTGGTTTCAGACCTGATTCAGTAATGTTGTCAAAGAGTAAGTGTACGTCTTGATCCTAATTTTCCTCTCTTTTAATTGTCAATCTGGTTTGCTGTTTGTTTTCTGGCATCAACACACAGAAGAACCTAAGCATCCAAATCCACTAAAAGTAATGTCACTTTAATTTCCAGAGGAATGAAATGCGCCCCTATGGACTGAGGCAGAGTATTCGGTGTCCTAAGAAATATGGGGAGACTATTAAAGAGAGGAAATGCATGTTGGCCCCAAGTTACGATTTGGACCTTGTGTGTGAGCAGAGTGACGCCGAACCCCAGAAACCCTTGGATGACAAGTATATAAGGAACGCCGCTGTTCTTCCAGACCTCAAACTGCCCCACAGCAACGGAGCCCTCACTACTGAAGAGAGGACCTACAGCAACACATCAACTAGTCAGCCAGGACCTCCGATGATCCACGGCTTCACTGTACCAGAGTACCAGCAGACATATCATTCAGTGGTGGATCCCTTGCTCTTTAGTCCTTGTGGGAAGCTCACAGTCTACAGTCTGGAGCAGGGGCGCAACATTAAGGAACATCTGTTTAAAGAGCTGGCCTACCCCACACTTCAGATTTCCGAGCAGCCAAACGGAAAGGTGGAGGTGATTGAGAGATTTTGTGTGCTCCGCCCTACACCTGTCATAGACATAGATGGTAATGGGGAAACAAAGTAATATACTCCCAAAGACTTTCTGACATGAGTGTGCCTTTTATTTTTATTTTTTATTTTTTTATTTATGTCTCTCAATACTTCATTAAATTTATATTTCAAATGTTTATTGAAAGAAATTGATGTCAAATGGTTGACATTTTGCAAAGAAGCCCCTCTTTATAAACATTATGTAAGACCTAAGAAGCCAAAATATCAAAAGTATCCACCTAAACTGCATCCAGAGTGTTTCAAAGTATATCAAATAATTAGTTTGAAAGCTTGTCAACCACTAAGATAATGTGTGTGTCTCCACCTGTTCAACACGTGGTTGCAACTAGGGCACAGCTGATTTCTGCCTTCATAAAATCAATATTCAAAACCAGACATTGTAAGCCTTTTATTATACTTGGCATTATCATCCCTATTAGATGCTTCTTGTGCCACACCTTCAAAATGTTTCATGGCCATATATATATACATATACACATACATACACACACTTTTTAAGCCCTGTCATTCCAAGTCTGCATAATACGTTCTATGTGTATAACGGTGTACCTCTTGACGTTGTTGTTGGTAACCATCAGCAACAGCTTCAATGTTGTGGTTGCCAGGAGCCAGCAGCGCATGGAAGTAGCCGCCTTCTGCAGTAAAGACTCTCACTCCACCGTTCAGTACAATGATCGCCCCAACAATAGGCTTTCCACTCTTGTCCCTGACCACGCCGCGCACCCCTTTATGGACCTGGATTGGGTAGAAATGGAGGGAAAGTTTAAGGCTGGATAGTGATGGGGAAAAATGATCATGTTAAATAACTGAAAATATCTAATTTAAGATTTGTCACAAAGGTTCAAGTCATACAAATGTTAAAAATCTATACTTAGTCAAATGAACAAGTCCATTAACAGTCTCCATGTTGTGTTGATAAAATATTACATCATACCTCCACCAACATGCTGAGGAGAGCCTTCTTGTTCTCAGCCCAGAGTGTGGCCAGATGCTCGGCAGAAGGGAACAAACAGCAGCCAGTATACACTGTGATTTCTGGACAGTGGCCAAAGTCCATGCTGAAGTCCTGGGAGGACACGTAAACATGAGATAGCACACAAGACCAGGGCTCTCCAAACTAACAGTTAGCGTCTCAAAACTATACCAAGCTAAAAAATGAAGTGAGCTATTTCATTTCAGGTCATATTTGATAAAAACTCACTACATAGCAGCAGCTTGGAGGCCATCTTAACTGCTATCACAGACACTGCAGTGGACAGACTTACCTTCATGCTCCCCATGTGACTTTGTCTCTCTGCTGCCCTCATGACTCCATCTGGGATGTTGCCCACTGAGTAAAAGAAAAGTTCCATCAGTAGTTATCCACAATCATCTTATTAAGGGCCCACATTCATACGACTGATGACACGACAGCAAGAATTATTCATAGTGCTTAAGTTACATACTCTGCCCATTATTTGAACATCCAGTGTCCCCGAGGTGCATCTTGGGGTGGTTGTTGGCATAAACACTTGCCAAGTACTTTAAAGTACCCTCATTTTCAACTGTAAAAAAAAAAAAGATTAAAACAAAACCACACAGCAGAATTTAGTTCTATTAAACAGTGTTTGTTGGTTTATTATTTGTCCTACTCTGAAAATTGCTGCTATATAATGTTTATAACTACAACTGAAAAGCTTGTCATGTCAGCCTGTAGGCTGTAAGGAAAAGTACATTAGTGCTGTGACTGCATTTACCAACATTTTAAGTTACAAACAAAACCGTGTTTAAAGTGTTGGACACAAGAACAAAGGTGACTGTTTACTTCAAATAGGTTTATAGCATCATTTTATTTTATCAATAGTAGGTCTATAAATATCATATTTTGTCCTCAGGGTGGTGCTAGAGGAGAGGATTTAGTGTCTTTTATTCTCTTGGGAGCATAACTTCTATTTCGGCAAATTTCATAGTAATCAGCCACTTCGACATATAATCTGCATTTTTTGTGCAAAGTTGTTAATGTGGAGACATTCATGGTCAATCTGGGATCCACTGGGATCATGAATGTGCTCAGTAAATGTCATGTAAATCAGACATTTTGATGTCTTTTGAATACATAGTAGTGTGTGGAAGATTTGGCCTTATGGTGGTTAGGTAAAAACATCATCTATCCTCATGGCAACATGCATATCCATACCAAATTTTACTTTAATCTGGCCACAAGTTGTCAAGATCATTTGCTCTGGACTTAACATGCTGGATGTATGACGTGTGCAATCATAACAGTGGTCCCATTTCATACAATCTAGATGACTGATTTTAAAATCTTAAATTTACTACAAGGACTTCTAAACAGGTTATGAATCCATCTTAATTTAATACTGATGCCTTGATATGACCTACATAAACTAACAAGGTCATCAGTGAGAAGACTGGTATTTCTATATAGTTCTTAATGCCTGCCAGGGGTCGGATTGGGTCAGATTCCCTTTGAAATCCATGAAACAAGATGGTAGAAACACTACCATGTTTTGTCAACAGGGGGCACCAGATTTAACACAAAATAAAAGTTCCTTGTAGGGGTTTTTAAATATACTATACATTATAAAACCTAACAAGGCATTATTTCTGAACAAGTTCTCTGCATACTTACCAGACTGGACAGGTTTGTCATAAGGGTACGTAGCAACAAGGGAGCCTCCATCAAGGGCTACAGACAGAGTGAAGCCCCTGTCTAGAATCAACTCCATCATCGCTCTGGTCTCTGGTTGGGCCTCCACCACACGCTGAGATGCATTGCCTAAGATAGGAGGAAAACAGATGGTGGACACAAAATGTAGCTTGTTAGAGCATGCTTAGCTTTTTATGGCAAGTGTATGTACAAGAAATTGTTACATTCAAAACAAATCTTTGACTATATATCTATATTAACTCTCTCTCTCTCTCTCTCTCTCTCTCTCTCTCTCTCTCTCTCACTCTCTCTCTCACTCTCTCTCTCATACACAAATCCATACGACTGACCAAAGAAGTCTGTGTCCAGATCCTTGCCATGGGAGTTGCTCAAGCCCCTGGCAGAGGTGCACTCCTTCTCAACAGCCAGTTCTCGTCCATCTGGGTTGATAGAGGGCACGATGACAATCCGGGTCTCATTGATCAGCTAGGGAAGATAAATGGAGAAAAAACAATTACAGACATGGCTGAACTATACTACTACTACTACTACTACTAGTACTACTGTATTTACTGTGACTGGTTCTTTCCAGTCAAGACAAAATTACGATACAGACTGTGAGAAAAATTTACTTCTTTTTAAAAGATCATGCTGAACGCAGTTAATACATATAGACCAAGCTATCAAACACTATATTTCCCGAGGGGCCCCAAAACTCACCCTGGTGATGACTGGGTTCTTGCCATAGTTGATACACAGGAAGGCAGCAAACTCCAGCAGCAGCTCTGTGCCCACTGGGGCATTGCCATGGATCCCTGCTACAAAGCGGATCTTGGGCTCAGACGGTTCAGCTTCCCCTGGTTTGTTGGAGATTTCCAGAGCCCAGATAGTTCGAAACTCCACACTTTGACCCAAACTGGACACAGAAGAGAAGAAACCAGAATTTAGGTCCATATTTTAAGAGAAGTAACTGAAGTTATGGCACACAGAGCAGATCTGGGCAGCATTGACCTTAACTAACTTGACAGGATTTACTAAACTAGGATGAGAGCCTTGTGGAAAGATAAAGTCTCCCTCTACCTTTGTAAAGATGTAATTTTGGGAAAGTTAAGCGTGAGGCCTCTCACGAAGGCCGCCATCTCGTTGTAGCGTCTGTAGCGGAAGCTGTTCTCTGTGGCTGTGCTCTTGACCAACTGCTCCAAACCCTGGCCTAGAGAGAGGTCCTTGATTAAGCTCTGGAACTCCTTCTCAGATGGGTTCTGTGTGGGTTGGGGGCCCTCAAGAGGCTGGCCATTTTGGTCTGAGTGTATACGTGTGAGTCTGAAGTCCACCACCTCTGCTTCATGCTTTGAGACTGTGGCGTATGTCCTCACAGGTTTATATCTGGACAACCGATAGTAAATTAAAGTTAATAGCATTGGACGCAAAATACAGAAACATACAGAAACGTCATGGTAAATTCTCTTGTTCGTTCTTCCCTCTGAAATCCAAACCTCACCCATGTGCGGAGGCAGTAATAGAGTAAGTCCCGAGGGCCAGCAGTCTCCAGTAGTCTCCAGTATGAGCCGTGGTGATGTTGTGGTCTATCTCCTCCACACTAATGGTGGCATTGGGTATTCCTGTACCATCCCCAATGTCAGAGACTGTGCCCTTTACTCCAATGTGGACCTACAGAGACACAAAACCACATAAACGTGAGTGGATGCAATACTGAGTAAAGTGAGGAGAAAGCTCAAGGTAATATTAATATTTGTGTTTATTACCTGGTCAATAAACTGAAGTAATGCTCGTCGGTTTTGTTCCCAGTATTTTGGCAGCTCTTTGGCCATGGGGTACTTCACACAGCCCAGCTCAATGGTCACCTCAAAACAGTTGGTGTTTAAGTAGTTCCAGTCCTGCATGCCACCTGGAGAAAAAGAGCCACTTTAGACTCAAACTTGAAAGCTTTCACTTGAAGCCACTGTAGCATCTATGATAGCATAGGTTTAGGGTTAGAGAAAAATGAATCCCAGTGAAAGGTGGTACAATCTATGTGTTGTTTTGTAGCATTTTATCCTCAGTGTCACCAAATCAGACCTGTCCTTTTGCTGTACCACAGTGCCCTGCACTGTCAGAATTACAAGGGCTTTAATTAAATGTCAACTGTGTACAGGCTTAGAGAGTCAAAATGTGGCAGATTTACTTTATATCTCCAACAGGTAATTACAATATTGTGTCATTTACTGAAGAACTAGTAACACTGAGACTACAGTAGCTAACTACAGTAGCTAATTTTATTTCTTTATTTTATAACCAACTGACTGAACTTGTAAATAAAACATAAATATCAATTTTCTGTGTATTTTGAGGCTATAAAAGAGAAATCTTACTTTCTACATAAAAATTACTTTTCCTGATTATGTGAATAAACTAAACACCTCAAATAGAAAAGGGTGCTTTGATCTCCTGTGGGAAAAAAATGAATGTGGTGAGTAACAAAGGAAGACGTAGGCATACCAGGAACATTGTACCAATTGGCACCATTGGTGATGCCATCCTTAAAATATTCATCAGGGTACAGGTCCTCACAAGGGTGCCCATTGTGCATCAGAGGATTCTCCTGCACAAACATTACACACAAGTGAGAACTCAACAATGAGTACTGTTGTAGTCAAGTTTTCAAAACTCGTCTCTCCTCAGATGTCACAAACAGCCAGTGGCTTTTATCAGCCCTGTCCACATATTGTATTCAATTATAACATGAAACCACATGCAGACAGTCTTCCAACCTGAAACAGATCCAGCAACAGTGTCCAGTTACCTGTGAGTAGGCTTTAGACACCTGCTGAAAGACTTTGTCATCAGGCGACTGACTATACTGAGTTATCCCTTTTCTGTCATCATCATAAGGGTAGTTGACCACCAAGGAACCTACATTGCACAACACAAAGATAAGACAAATCAGTAAGACATCTGAATTAGGGGTTAAAATTAAATATAATATGCATAACTGGATGACTGGATAATCTAGCCTAATACTTTAAACTTTAAACAAATTGTGTGTCTTGTTACCATCTTAAAACATACAACATTACAATCTTTAGCACTAAAAGATCAAAATAAGACCGTGCCTCCGTGTAGGTTGGCTGACAGGACAAAGGGGATGCTCTTCAGCCAGTTCATTACAGCTATAGTCTCAGGCTGTCTGGGTTCTGTGATGTTGGTAAACTGGTCCGGGAAGTTGCGGTTCAGGTCAAAATTGTTGCTGTTGTTACGCCCTCTGTAGCCCTTAACATCACCTGTGAGGAAATAAGTGATCAACTTGTATCTGTAAGCTCAGCATGTTTCTGCTTGAAGAAGTACACAACCACAGCTCCACCTCCTCTATACTTCCTTTCTACGTGCTCAGTTGAGACTTCCCCTGTATATGAATGTGATGAATGTGGTGTGGTCACATTGCAAGCGAAAAAACACTCAAAGAATGTTAGTCACGTGATTAAATTACTGTTCAAGACCTCTGTAATGTTACACATTTGCTAATGTATCCAGAGCAATATACCTAACACCTGTATTATAATATAATGTTTCATGTCTTCATTTCATACTGTGCAGGTAGTGTTACTTGTGTGCTCCTTTCTCTTACCTTCAGATGCTTCTTCATAGCCGTCAGGGTTCATAGAAGGCATGATGTGAATGCGAGTATTGTTGACCAACTTAGTGACCTCCGGGTCAGTGCCATAATTACGGCACAGGTACTCGATGAGGTTGAGCATTAACTCTCGTCCCACCACTTCGTTACCGTGCATGTTGGCTACATACTTGAACTCCGGCTCACCTGATACAAGGAAAAAAAGGAGGTCAGAGTAAAAATTCCTAATAAAACATGACATTACACATTTAAAATCTTCAACATTTGTAAGTAAGTATTGTATCGCAACTCCTTTAAGCAACTGTCTAAGACATACCATGCTCGTGGACTTTGGGGTTGTCTGAGATGACCATCACATAGAGTTCAAGGTTTTTCGCAGAGCGGCCGACTGAGTAAAGGTGGACAATAGATGGGAACTCGCTGCTGTATTTGCGCAAGAAAAGCTCCATGTCTGCGTAGTTGTGATGACGAAATTCCTGGGGCTGGACGGGCTGGTGTTCAGGAGGAGGCAAAGGAGGGCTGCTCTTGTTTTCCTCAGCAGGAACCACCGTGGGGTTAGAAGAGTTGGTAGTGGTGGTGGGGATGTTTGGATCATTGGTGGATGTCATGGAGTATGTAGTCACAGTGGTGCTTCCTGCAGCCTCGCTGACCACAGGTGCCAAGGTGAAGTTAAGTTCTGCTGCTTTTCCTTCCAGGACCTGGACACCATGAACTGTCATTGTTGTGTACCTGTGTACAGAAAAAAAACACCTGTTTGAGGACTTCAGCTCCACCTTAAAATCACCAGGAAGAACCAAACTTAGATGTCACAGATTGCATGACAAAAAACCATCAGTGCAGTTTTCTTCTAATCTCTTATCTTTCTTATTTACCAGTGAACTTATGAAACACATTTTCTTCACTTCAGTGACAAAGAGTTACTCTGTGTTACTACAGGAAGTAATTGATGTTATGCATTTCTTTAGGGCAGCAGTTGTGGGTAAATCTAGCTGAGACATGGAAACTGAGCTTCATTGTTTGATAGTGAGATGGTGGAGAACCAGTTTATAAATTTAGCTTAGTTCATTATGATCTGGCAAAAAACAGCTCACTGGGTTTTTAAAGATGACTGAATTGAATATTTTTAAGTGTTGTCCTTTAATGCCTAACCTCTGTTTTTGAAAACCTGCCAGGCAAAGAAAGTTTATTGGTATTACTCACCCTGGGACCACAGCTGTGATGTTGTATGTTCCTGGGATAAGGAGACGATAGAAGTCCCCATATTTCCCTGTGGTGAGGTTGTGGCGAATCCCTTCCACCACAATGCTGACATTGGGGAGAGCAGCTCCACTGATGGCATCTTTCACATAGCCACGGACACCTATATGGACCTGGAACAGAGCGGTATTGTAAATACAAAGGACATGTTGCTGAACTGGGGCAATGGTATGCCAAAAAATATCAGGCTAGGTTTGATTATGGCATTATCCTTTTAAATAAAGAAACATACATTACAGAACACCTGGCAGTACAGCTGACAACAGAACATACATTAAAATGAATACTTATGTATCATTCATATTTTTTAGTTACAAGCTATACCTTTTCAATGTAGGCTAGTAGAGATTCCCTGTTCAGATCCCACTGATTATGAAGCTCAGCAGCAGGAGGATATTTGCAGCAGCTCAGCTCCATGGTGATTTCCAGACAGTTTCCGTAGAGGTAGTTGTAGTCCTGCATACCTCCTAGATAACAAGCCAGCAATGTAATAAATAAACCAACCATGCAAGTAATGGCAGAACACATTCAATTCAAGTGTCTAAATCCAGGAACGGATGTGTGCAACATGTAATCATAAAGTAAATTCCTAAACATGCTCTTCTTAGCTAAGTTTGACCCCTAGTGGCGCCAGGCCAATTGATTAAAAGGGAGAGACGCTCTGTCTTGAAAGGCTTGAGCCTGTCTTTGTCTCTTCAATGCCACAATTTAAAGACTGTGTTTAATGTGGCAACAAGCCATGACATTTGCAGATCGCCGGTCACCCTAGCCCCCCAAGTAAGGCAAACAAAAAAGACACAGAAGGGCAGGCCGTTCGGCTGGCCATCCCACAGGAGCGAGAGCAGGCAGACAGAGCCTCCCTGGCTGGAGGGTTGCCATGACTGCCTGCTGCGGGGCCACGGGAACCCAATGAAACTGCCACCATTTGCCACTTTGTAACAGTGAAAGTGAAGGACTCACACACCAAATACTGACAAATAACTTCAGTAATTAGTAACTTCTAATGAGGAAGACGTCACACACACCACAACTGATAAATGTCGGTCTAAGCACACTACACTTTAGCTATCACACAGACAGAGTACTACATAGGCAGTAAAGTGCAATGAGTACTGATCAGTGCTTGCTGCAACCTGTTTTATTTAATTCCTATCTATAGTACTGCACTGTCACTGAACAAAAGTGGGAGGATTCTACAGCTTCTACTGACCATTTGGTTAAATTGCCAAACATTTATACTTCTGCCCATTTTTAAACAATCTAACCTGCTTGCCTGATGTTGAGATCCTGCTGAAAGTTATATTTCTAGCAGAATTTGGAAACTGAGGGAAAAAAGGATCACAGAAGAGCCCGCAGGCTGTGATGTGGTACAGGCCTTGGCTCTGAGAGCAGGCGTACCAAAATATACACGACAAACACAAGTTCTTCTGAGTCATCGCCAGTCAAGCGACAGCTGTTCAGCCGTCTGAAACTTAGCGAGGGTAACTGGCTGCCAGGGCATTCACTGTAAATGGAAACTTTAGAAGACGTGATAACCTCTTATAAATGGCACACTGGACAGGTTTCAGTTGTTTTTCAGTTGTTCATTTAGCACAGGTCTGGCAGAACAGAAGAATGGGCTTCCCCGTTGTATTTTCCAGAGTAACTGGTGGGTACAACCATTTACAGAGAACAACAGGGACCACATCCTTTGAGATTATTTTGAATACGGGTGGTGTGTAGAGAGATGTGTCAGGGTAATTCGTTGGAGCTTTTACCCTCTGTGGTGGCAGCAGAGACAGCAGGGTGCAATGTCAACAAAACAAAACGTAAGCTTTAAAAAAAATGATAAGCAAATAACGCAAGACAAAATCCATACAGTGCTGCAACAACAGCCAACAATATAAAACTCTTTTCTCCAGGTCACAAGGCATTAGGCACTGTCCTGTGCTAAGTTATTTTAAGCCTTTTAAACCGAATCTAGTACCATTCATTTTAAAGTAAACATCTCCCATATCCTGATAGAGCATGACAAACAGAGAGATCGCAGACCAACCTTAAATATCCTGTTTATGTACCGGATCCAGTGGCACGCCCTGAACTTAGCAGGAAACCACTGCCCAGACAATGGAGCAAAAGTTAGAGCGAGTAACTGAAGTTGCTGTGTAGGGCACAGGGATGTGTATAATCCAGGATGACCTTAAGGGTTTAGTGATACTGCAATGCAATAACAAATTACCCTATTTCTTGTCAAGCGTTTATAATAATACTGTTATCAAGGAGGAAAAAATATTTGAGAGAGTTTTACTGTCACTGGACTGTCAGCAGTTTACAGTGACATAGCGTAAAAGTATGACTATCACTAGTGTGAACGTTCACAGGCACTTCCAGGGCCTCAGATTATCACAGCAACAGAGCAGTATTTCCATACAGTAAAATGATATTCTTGTTCTCTTGAAGGGATGTGCATCTTTCAACACGTACTGGATTACAATAACCTAGGCCTACAGCTTTAAACAAATACCCCATAAACATTTTTACCGGTTTAGAATCACTCAAAACACAACAAACCAACAACAAACATTTTCAACAAAACCAGGGTGCTCTAGCTATGTGCTGAGGGTTACATAAACCAAATTAGAGTCAAACAGTAAAGAACGCTCTCTGAGGCTAGACTGTGTCAAAAGATTATGAGTCGAGATAACATGTTATGCTGAATCATCATTTCAAAACCTGACTGCCACACAAAAAATGTCCTGTTAACTGACTCCTGGTCCTGGCGTTTCGCCTGGGTCACTCATTATGTCACACAATGTCCTGGCCATTTCCATCATCTGCCATTAGCCCAGTTTTAGCAATGACATTTCGTCCACTGAGACATGACGGACAGATACAGGCTTTGTCCATTCAACAGTTTTACACTTTTTGCTGTTTATCTTCATATTGAAATATAGACGCTGTTGCTGCTAATAGCTTTAATAACTGGCTCCTATTACAGCCTGAAACTTCTCTGCCTGAATACTGGCTGTTGTGTTGGGAAAGAGCAAAGACAAAATAGGCAATCTTCAGCTTAAACAGCCATTCAGTAAAGTCCGTGCTTCTAGATTCTGATGACAATTACAGCCAACATTTACACAGTGTGTGTGCTCGTGGCTTTGGTAATGATTTACCGCTTCAGGTGGTAAATAGACAAACATGTAATGACATGATAACACGTTAAAGTGACCTGCAATTGGGACAAATACAGGTGTTTTAAGGAATCCTGAAATTACTTATCAGTTTTAATACAAACATTATAAAATCTAGGGGGATGATGCAGGTAAATTAATTATTAGAGCAGGTTTTAAAGAAATTAACTACTTTTGCTTTTTGCCTGTATTATTATTATTATTATTATTATTATCATTATCATTATCATTATCATTATTATTATCATCATCATCACCAGTGATGGAAATGTATACACTAAATATCAAACACGCTTGTAAAAGAGAAGAAAAGGAATTAACAGGAAAGCAAACGAGGTGCCACTTCTGAAGAATTCTGGTTCAGTCAAGTCACTTAATCTAAGCAAAGCGCAAAGTGCATGCATGCTAATCCATGGGAAATTACCCAACAAAGCACATCTCAACAAGAAAAGCAGTGCGGTAACCTGAAGCTGAGACCCTTACATCACCACATCCAAACCCGTCGGACAAACCAACAAAAGTATGCTGATCAGGTTACTGCCCAGGTGATGCAGAGAAGAGCTGTTTCTGAATCTGAATGAAGTGGAGCTCATGGAGAAAAATAAAGGCAGCATTTACTTTCGCTGGTATATATTTTGATAGATGAGGTGAGGTAGATTTTAGCATTTTGACACCTGGCAAACCCAAAATCATGCCACACTATTCACTACGCTTTAATCACTGAAAGTTTGAGACTGACATTAGGTTTTGGTCATTACCAATTACCAATGTTGAGTATGAAGAATCACAAAACCTGTAAACTGTCTATAACAACTCAACTCAACATTATTTATATAGCACCTTTCATACAAACATGCAGCCCAAAGTGCTTCAAATAGAAAAATTTAAATTTTTTTTAAAAAAATTAAAAAAACACATAAAAACAAAATTAACAAAGACAAAAAGAAACATATAAAATAATTGTCAATATTAAAAAAATAAACAACGTACACAGTGCTGCTATATGGAGTGTAACAGTGCTCACAGTAACAACAAACTTAACATTGCACTTTATATGAGCTTATTAGATGAAAAAATAATGATCGTGGTATTTGCCTCTAAGCAGCTTTCCTAAACAGTTCAACTATTCAAATTACTTAATCTGCCATGAGAGAAAACCTTCACATGACAACAGCTTGAAGTCTGCTAGGAAATTGTAATTTGTTCCTGAGTCTCCTACCAGCAGGTTGTAGCTTGTATAAAACTCGTACAAACCCACATATACTGCACACAGTCCAACAAAAAAGAGTCACATTCTTGGCTTTCAGATGGGGAAGCAGCAATGAAGGTTAGACTGTCCTTACAAATACTTTTAACAGGAGTCTTAACTTTCCTGCTGTCCACAATAAATAAATAAAACTTGAGGTAAATAAGAGTCACAACTCTTGTGACTGGACAAAATAAATATAAAACAATAGGTCTTCATTCAAAGACACAACACACCAATTCCACTTCTGTTATCGCCATGGCAACACATCAGAGTGTTATATCTTTTAGCTCAATAACAAAAAGGTGAGACGCTACATTGAAGTCCATATGAAACATACAGGATGTGAACCACACAACCACAACACTGAGTTATCAGACACTAAACTAGGCATCATATCAATGAAAAAATTACTCATCTTACCAGTCACGTCATACCACTGCGCCCCATTGGTGATGCCATCTTTAAAGGTTTCCTCTGGGGTATCGGGACAATTTGGCTCTCCAGTCTTCATCACAGGGTGGTTCTGGGAATACACCAGGGCCAAGAAGCGAAACAGACTGTCGTCCTCTGACTGGCTGTAGTGGCCCTGCCGCTGGTGGGATGCCGAGTCATCAAAAGGGTAGCTGGCAACCACCGTGCCGCCATGCAGGTTCCCTGACAGCACGAATCTGGAGGGACAATGGCACATTTTAGAAGCAGCCAAAAAGGATATAGAAGAGCGACCTTGGCACTAAATGCATTGGACATTTTGGGAGATAACCACTTGATTTGTCTAACTCAGACTGCTGAAACTCAAATGAACCTCAGGTTAACTTCACAATGCCAGAACAAGGACTGGATTCTGTCCCCATCTCTTACATTGGAGTTACTTTAGTGAGCTCTCTGGCTCTCTCTCTCTCGCTCTCTCTCTCTCTTTCAATGTACACATGGGCTTGGGAGTATTATATACAAATAAAGTGTGGTCCGTTCCTTTAAAAAGCTATGAGGAAACAATGCTGTTGTAATAAGAAATGTGATGCTGCTTAGAGGGAAACTCCCTTTTTGTATGTGAAATACAATATTTGTGTGCATGTTGGGTCGAAGTCTAGTCTAGTCCAAGTGTCTTCCAGCCAGGAGAGCAGTTTTTTCTGACTATTATGAGTCACACCCCCTGCGGCCCTAATGAAGAAGGAAACTAAGGGTGAACTGAGTTACTCAGTGACCAAAATGTTTGCCAAATTAGGCCTGAAGCTAAAAAAAAGTTTTCATTATTGGTTAATCTCTATATCTTTTTAATGATTTTCTTTGGCATTTACGGCTTGATTGGATAGCTGATAGCATAGAGGCACACAGGAAACCGGAACCACGGCATGTTTGGCATTTTACTTTTGTGAAATGGATTGTGGAAATAGTTGCTTTTGATTAACTAATCAATAAATCAACTGATCATGTCAGCTGTACTGCCAGGTGAACCTCGGTTTTAACATACCATACAATGATGGTGTCCCAGTGCAGTAAGTCACACCTGCTTACCCCCTGAGGTCTTAATGGAGACAAAGAACTGAGTTGCACATTGACAGGAATGTTTGTCACTCTCCAAATCTTCCACTGTGAGATACACATTGGTTAAAAAGTGTTCGAGGAAGTTTTACTGGAGGCAGTCGACCTCAAACACCCGGACATTGGGTTATGTTTGCTCAGGAGTGTGAGTGTGTGTGTGTGTGTATGTGTATGTGTATGTGTGTGTGTGTGTGTGTGTGTGTGTGTTTGTTTGTGTGTTTGTGTGTTTGTGTGATTCATAGAAGAATGAGACTCACTTATTCTCCTGGATCCACCTGATCACAGCCATGACCTCGGGGACGTTATCTGGACTGACCCGGGTCCCTTCATACTGGTCGGGAAAGCTCCTGTTCAGGTCCACATTTCTGGCGTTGGTTCGACCCCCGCTGTCCCCATTGCAGTCCCCCTCTATGGACTTCTCAAAGCCGTCAGGGTTCATGCTGGGCATGATATAAATATCCGTGGTGTTCACCAGCTCAGTAATACGCGTTTCCTCCCCATATTTAGCCAGCAGGTACTCCACAAGGTACACCAACACCTGCCTGGACACGGTTTCGTCGCCGTGCATGTTGCCGACGTATTTAAATTTGGGTTTCCCCGGTGTGTCTATGTTGGGGTCCTTTGTGATCCGCATCACCCAGAGCTCCCTGCCCTCCACAGACTGCCCTATGCTCGACAGGTTAGCTATGTGAGGGTATTTCTGGGCTAGAGACTGTAAACGCCCGGTTAGGTCAGCATAATTGTAGTATTTGTCGTAAGTTTCTACCGTTTCCTCCGTCGAGGGGCTGACGCTTCGTGTCCGGTGCAGCCCGTCGTCTCCAAGGGAGACAGCGAGAAAGAGAAGAAAGGAGAAAAGTGACACCCGTAGTTTCGGCGTCGTCGAAAAATGCTGCCAAACGTGGACCATGGTGATGTTTCTTCTACTTCTAAACCATTCGGACTTTCTGAGTAAACAACAAACGCCGGGGTTGAATATTTTATGAGTGTTTTATCTCCCCAGCGACAGACGTATCTTCGCTGTCAGAGCCTGGCCTGTCTGTTTCCATCTACTTCCGCTCCTCTCTCAGGGGGGCGGGGCTACACGATGATGTAGAAATTTAAGGTGGACCGGTAGAGATACGTTACATGTTTTTTGCCAGAATTTCTGCAGTTAATAACAGTCTCTAAAATGGACCATGGTAATTCATTTGAGTCTATTTATTCCCTGGCAATACCGTCTGAGTGTGTCGATGTGAATTATTGGCACTTACATTTAGGTAGTGAATCCTTAATCGGAGGAGCTATTTGTAAACTTCTTAAAAACAGATTATTTTTCTGTCTTTTTGAGTAAATGACAAGCATTTTATTTCACCCTTTTGTTATAAATGGAACAATAATAATAATAAACTTTATTTATATAGCAATTTTCAACATTATAATTGTTATAAGTTTGTTATAAAGTTCTGGCTTTATGTCATAAAGTTAACAATATCTTAACATCCCCATTTATTCGTTTGTTTGTCTGTTTTTACTGTAGGATTTATTTATTTTAATATAGAATTTACTTTTTAAAATCTTTCTTTCCCTACATCTGCTGACTGACATCTTTTGCCCTGGTTCCTTGTAGATTTTGATGTTTATATTGCTATTGTGCTTGTTTTAACTGGCTTACCTGAACTTGTATAATGTCAAAATCTTTGTACTATATCTTAATGAAATAATAAATATATATATATGTATTTTTTAAAATATATAATAGATTTGTTGTATGTATGTTTTATGACTCAAAAATCCGGAAAGGTTTCTGTTGCATAATTAATAGCACAGAGTGAAAATGGTAAAATTAAATTACATAAATTAAATTTAAAATTACCCCAAAAAAATAAATAAATAAAAGAGCAGACACTCGAGCAGTGTCGATGATTATTTGGACCATGTTAAACCCTTTTTCACTCAAGCCTCACTCACACAACTGACACTTCACTACCCATGAGCAAACACTATCACAAACACTTAATAAGTGTAGAGTGTTTCTCTACATGCTTTAGAAACTCAATACTTAATATATTTTTGTTATTAATGACTCCATAGATAAACTACAGTTCCCTTTACTGAACAAAACCGGGGCATCCAAAAACTCCAAAAGGAATCTTTCTCTCACAGAGCTCTGAGTGTTTTTGTTTCAATATTTTGAGTTCATTCTTCTCACCGCTCAGTAATGCAAACATTCAGGATCTAAGTGACTAAATGACAATATAATTCAGTGTGTGGTTTTCTTATCAATGCTGTTGTGCTATTAACTGTTATCAGCAACCTTTATGCAAAAGCTTTTGTTGTGTGTATGTGTGGAGCAACCACAATACATTTCACTTGTTTGTTTTGCTTTACTTGTTGATTTAATTCTTTAAGTGTAAATCTTTTGTTACAATGATATCAGGGGATGGTATTCAGGAAAAAAAACTGCTTCTCATGATTTCTAATAATTAACCAGTTGCACTCACACCAGACAATACAAGAATTATTCTAGTTTACACATCATCTTTGGAGTAAGCTTCTCGTGAACTTGTAAGCCCCCTTCTATGTTTAAGATATAAAGCAAGGGGTAACAGTCAGTGTAAACCATCAATTGATGTGATTTCAATATGAAAATGAATCACAACTGAGCACCATGGAGTTTAGCAGCATACTCTTGTATTTCTCTTTATTTCATGTTGCCCATTCATTCTTTATTGATCACTGGTAGCGCCATGTTTACCCACAAATATGAGGAGCAATGACTCTGAGTGACATCACCATCCTGCCGCCATGAGGCCTTTAACTTCCTCCTCTTCTCTCCTCAGTGGGGCGTCAGTCAGGGGCTTCTCTTCAGTGGCTGGTTTTTTCTTTCCTTACTTTTTTCTTTTTTTAATTAAATTTCTCTTCATTTTTTTATTAGGCAACAGAACAAAACAAAAGTGCGGTAAACATTGTGAAGCACCAGAAAGTGTCAGACTTAGTTCACTAAGGTCTGACAGAGCTGGCTAAAGCTTGGAATGACTGGGTGAAGGGAGGAGGAGGAGGCGGAGGAGGTAAAGCGTGAGAGGATGGGAGAGGCGGCTGCAGGTCTCATTGCTGGATTCGACGCACCGACTGCACCTGGAAGGACTGAGCATGGGAGCCCCACTCTCTGTAATGTTTGTACTCGCCGCCATGACGATCACACTCCATGATGTACTGGTAACCACGGTAACCTGGGAACTGGTAGCACACCCAGCTGGAGGAGGAGAGAGGGAGGGGTGGAGGAGGAGAGGAAAGCAGTGATTAATGATAAACATGTGATTTACACAGTGAGTGAAATTAGGCCTACATAATATGAAATGCAATTAGATTAAAAATAACCACACTTTAAAACTATGTGAGAAGAAAGCTGCAGTCTTGATTAATCTTAATCTTGAAAGTGTAAGTTATGTAGCACATTTACATTTAATCAAAGCAAATCTTATTTCTGTATTTCTGTTATATTAGTGAAGTGAATAAGCCTGGGATGTGAGTTACTGTCAACCACATTTTCTCTTTGAGGTTACACTGTTATAGGATGGATGGGTAAAAACTGAGAACTAACCTAAAAGAAAATAGAATCTTATATACGTTATGAGCATCTACAAAATATATATATATTTGTATATAGATGTATTGTTGAGACACTGATATAATCGCAAATAAAGTCACAACATGAAGTTGCAATAGATGAGGTATGGAGGAATGGGATGGAGTGATGGTTAAGATGTGCTTAAGTAAGTTTGAGCGGAAATGAGTGCAGGGTGTGGTCTTTGTTCCCAAAACTAGGTTGTTGGTTAATGCCAGCGTATAAATGCCAGAGACTTACGAGCCGCACTGAACTTGCATAGATCCGATCTCGTTGTTGCCCCAGCCCATGGCCTGCAGAGAGGGGTAGTCATCGTTTATCTCCCACTGGCGCCCCATGAAGTTCTCCTTCTCAAACAACATCATCTTGGACTCCTTATGGTTCTGTACGCACATGACGAAAGAAAATACAAGTCCAGTCAGTTATTAAATACAAAACAGTACCAGTTACACTGCTTTAGTCTTGTAGAAGACAGTGGGTATACTGTAAAGTCTATACAAATTCAAGCATTTTAAAGATCAGAGAGGTTGAAAAAACCTTCCCCTCAGCAAAAAAGTTGTAGAATTTTAAACATATTAATCTAATTTGTGTGAAATGTCTAAATTCTATTATTACTATAATATATTTTTAGTGGCAAACCAGCAGCTGGTATAAGTTCCTCAGTAGGCTCTTCAAAGGAGAAACCAGGTTTCTGAACCCAAGTGAGTCAATTTAATGAGTCAAATTACGTGCTTTTTAACTCTAAACAGGGAAACAGCAGCTCACAGCAGAGCAGATGGGGCGGAAGGACATCATCCTCTCAATGTGGTAGGCGTTGCTGCCACTCCACGACTCCCAGTGAGGATACTCTCCTCTCTCCAACACAAACTGCTGTCCACAGAAGCTGGAGTGCTCATATCCTGCCCAGCTGTCGACAGCAAGCAGACAGACAGACAGACAGACAGACAGACAGACACATGTACATGCACAACCATTAGGACACTTGTAAAACAGATAATTTTAACACTATAAATGTTCTGACAGGTTGATCTGATCTTACTTACGCGCCACACTCCACCTTCAGGGAGCGGATGTTGTCGACACCACACTCCATGATGTTCTGGCAGGCTGCGGTGAACTCCAGACGTTTCCCCTGGAAGTTCTCCTGGTCATAAACTGTAATCTGGAGATGACACAAATGCATACATGTAGTATGCACATGCCGCACGCACACACTAATGTGTGTACACACATCATTGTCATCATCAGGCCAGAAATGAAATGAAATTAAAATGTAATCAGCTTCTGTTAATCATCCATAGACATTGCACTCACCTTCCATGGACCCAGTGGGTTGGGATTATTCAGAGCCATGCTACTGTGTATTTCAGTGCTGATTTACCTTCAGTGTAGAGAGCAGAGAGAATCATATTCAGGTTAATCATCAAAAGCTAATAAAGGAAAACACTACCCCGTTCAAACACAGCCTGTCACCTCCTCCACACCAACTACAACATGTGTTTTTGAGCTAATGTTTATTATCAATTTCCCTTTAGAAGGTCTAGTCATATTTTTTGTGCTTGCGCGTCTTTGAAATCAATCTGAGGATATATCACCTTGTTTTATGACATTAGAAAGAATCTTGGCCTGTATAAAAGAAATCATCACCTAGTGCACGTTATCTGTTAGGTATGAAACCTTTCTTGAAGCTACTACATGCTCACACTTGATGGAGCCAGCTGTTGACGTATGCTGTCTGTTCTCCCAGTGCACGGTCAGTATGTCTATGCATCTGCATGTCTGACGTCAGTCTATACATTTACGTGGCTCAGCAGAAACAACAAGGACAAAAGACACAAAAATGTAAAGTGTCAATTGTCTGCACAAGTCTATAGGCTGAATGGGCTGAGATGGAGGGCTTACCTGACCGGCCCCAAAGAATAGCAGTGCAGTGCTCACAGGGGGGCTCCACAAAAACGATGTCCTGACCCCGTTGTAAACGGACCTATTTATACATGCTGGTGCTGAAAAGCAGCTGGGCCTGTGGGTCGGGGAAGGAGTCAGCACATTGCTGTTCCAGTCATTGTTCAGCACTGAGCTGCTGGGCTTTAGTTCGCCGCAGTGGGACTGGATGGAGGGCACGGTGCCCAGTGCAGATAAGCACAAGTTCCAAATGGTCCCTGACCAGTGGGCCGGACCAAGTCCTGGCACAACCCGGTCCAGGAAACAGATCATCACAGATGTGGATAGTCTTGCCAGTGTCTCTGGTGCAAAAAGGAAAAACACATTTAGTGTTCAAGTGCAAAGCAGAAAAACAATTGTAACATTTTACACTTTGTAGGTAAAAGTGTTTAAATTCTGGATCCAAAAAAGACTCAAAATGAGAGGAAACTGACTAATAACTGAGCTGGATTTACTTACTGGGTCCTTTGCACACTGCTCTGTCTCTCTGGCTCTCTGTCTCTGATCTGCGTGTCATGTCCACCTCAACTGACCCCACATCTCTGGTCCTTTCACCTTTTGACTCACTCCAATATACACACATGCTCAGTCATGCACACACACAGTCATGTACAGAGACTGGCATGCGGAGGCCTGTTCATGCAGTCACACATACATTCAGGGCATACAAATGAACTTACACACTTACACATATACACAAATCTATTTACATTTCGTTTAATGCTTTATTTCTTTATGGTGGTAAAGATAACTACTAATTAAAAAAAAAATTTCATCTTAAAAATGTTGTAAGAGTACATTCAGTGGTGGAATGTAACTAAGTAGATTTACTCAGTTACTGTACATAAGCACAAACTTGTACTTTACTTGAGTTTTCTTCTTCATACTACATTTGTCAGACAGCTTTAGTTACTAGTTACTTTTCAGATTATTTTCACAGTTTGTTTGGAAGCGAAATATAATTTAGCAATAATTTAGAATCCTATTCTTACTCATACAGTAAATATAAAAACTTTCAGTTTGTATGTTTTGTATTCAGTATTTGAATATAAAAATAGTACTGAAGTATTGTATATAAGTACAAATTTGAAGTACTGCCCTGTCACTCTTCAGCTGCTATTATCTAATAAATAAATAAAATATAACAAAGAGCATGTGCAACATCTATAGATTATTTATTTGACATTTCAGTTACACCAAGAAAGATTATGGGAGATATGATGTTGACATTTTCTGACAGGCTACCTTGTAGCAACACCAATATATAGACTAATTCTGCTGTGACCAACAGTGTTGTGGAAGCTTTGAAAGCATTGCTTCGCAAGTTAACAATTACTTCACAATGGAATAAGTTGAACTACAGCCAAACAAAGCTTATTTACAAGCTACTTAGAAAAAGTAATTCAAAATATTTTGTTAAAAAACAACGTGCATACGAAGTTTCAACAAAATGTAATTTTAAAAAAAGTCACATGCCAGCAAAAATGCCAATCAGTTCAATTTATTAAGTAAGGTCAGTCAGACAAACAAACAAACAACTTCTCTGAACATTGTCTGTAAATAGCAATAATCAATACGTATTATGACCAACTGACACCCAATATATTCAAGTTAAGTTTCATAAACTCAGATTCAAAATATATATTATATATTATAACATAATTAAAAATATTTTTCACAGGTCAGCTGACAATCCAGCTTTGTAGTACTATCAGTAAGCTATTGCAAAACGTAGTTAAACTACTAGTTTAATTACATGTAGTTCACTACTCTCCAACACTGGTAAATGTAGTATGACTGAGATGAGAATAAAATAACACCAACATACGTAAGCCTCAGAAACACATCTAACTCCTGGCCCAAAAATTTTAAAATAGTGTTATAGTTTTTTAACTTAACTGCCCCAGGCCTCGGTGTATTGGGAACGTGTACAAGCAAGCAGCGGTGCATGGTGGTGGTCTCACAGGTAATAAAAGCATCAGTCCTGTCAGGCCCCTTTTAAATGGTTTGAAACCATGAAAAGAACAATTAGAGTGAAACTGATCTCTTTGTCTCTGTTGTTCTTCCAGTGTCTACTCTAAATGTCTAAAATAGCTCACGTCAGATGTATTCATGAGGTTGTCTTCTTATTATCAAAAGCAAAAGATGACATTTCCTGTGGCTTCTTATGCTCTAATAGTTAGGTTAAGGCTGTCAGTATGTGCCCACAAGCCTTTCACCACTGTCTGTGTTACATCATAGATTAAAGTGCCACAGGTGCGACAGATCCTTTGGAAAAAGCAATTATTAGAACACAGAAATGTGAATCTATCGTTCTGCTTACAGAAATGGTATTTAACCTATTTTTGGCATATTTTGGTCACATCTTTATCTATCTATCTTTATCTATTTTCACAAGTCATGAAAAGATAATATTCTGTCCGAGTGCATGCATGCCACTGTGCATGTACAAATCCACGTGTGTAGGTGGGATTGTATGAGATGTGTATGTATGGATAAAGCCTGTGTAGCACTATAATAAGCAAAAGAGTGTCCAACACGCCTGTCTAAACAATGGAGAGATGGATGCCTCTCCTGCAGTCAGCACATTACACACACAGGGCTCAAAGGCTTGGACCGGCTGCACCAACGATCAAAAGAAAGAGAGAGAGAAAGTATGGAGGTGAAAGACAAAGACAATGACAGTAGGGAAGGATAAAAAATGAACAAGAATTTTGAAAGAAAGTGAGAGACAGAGTGTGAGAGAAGTGGCTGCAAAAGTAACTGTGTGTGTGTGTGTGTGTGTGTGTGTGTGTGTGTGTGTGTGTGTGTGTGTGTGTGTGTGTGTGTGTGTGTGTGTGTGTGTGTGTTTGTGTGTGTGTAGAGGGGCGGGCAAACTTTCTGCTGATGGCAGTGACTGTCCCCGGTGCCCCACAATGGTGCTGGACAACAAAACAGGCAGCCGAGTCAGCACGACTTGTCCGCAGATAAGCAGCGTGACCTCTGACCCTGCACCATGATCTAAACAGCTCACAGCCAATCAGAAGTCAGAATCCGGCCTGTATAGACTCAGGCTGGTTGTGAATGTATATATATATCCCCACTCACAAGGCCTGCGTCCATCACTTTCTCCAAAGGTCGGTCCGTTTCAACCTGCAAGTGTAACTGTAAGTTTCCACTCTAAGGTCTTCTAACTCTTTAAGAGCTGCTAGAATCACTGGATATGAAGCGGGATATTATGGTTTTACTTTCTACTCACACTTTGGACTGAAAGAACCAAGCAAGGATTTTATCCTCTCTTAATTTTGGACTGAGTAGATGGAATATTGACATAAAATGCAGCAGGGTATGATTTTATGTTTTAGGGCCGCTCTCATGTTCAGTCTTGGGGTAACATGGATGAGAAAGATAAGGGACTGTGGCTAAAACTTTATCCTTAAAAAAATGGATAATGGCAGGTTTGGACAGATGTGTGGCTGGTTAATGAGTATTCTTGCTCTCATGGAAAGGCCAAAAAGATCACGGGATGTGCTACCACTTTGAGGTAGAATCAGATCAAATTGCGTACAAATGGTTGCTTGGATGGATTTCAGCAAGCAAAACATAAAGAGTTGATCAGTTATAGTCCACTTTTACTGGAAAGACAGAATTATGTTCTTAATTTTGCTATTCAAATATAAAATTAGGCTGAAAAAGGCAAGAAAAGACATTCAGCCTTGAGGTTAATGTTGGGTCCATTATAGAAGAAAAGAAATAAAGATGTTAGACTGTTTTCGCATTATGTTTTAACCTTGAGGAGCACATTCACACCCATTGAAAATCTTGTTTTTGCTGCGTGATTTCGTCGTGTACTTCAGGGTGTGCCGGTACAGCGTGATATCATTGTTGGGTGTGGTTACAGAGCACACTTTAGGCACTACCACACCCATCAGTGATTCTGGTTATGGTCAGAAACAGACTTTCCACCAGAGAGGGCAGTGAAATGCTGCTTTTCAGCCTGGTATTAACTCATTAAAGCCACCATCAGGCTGCACCCTCAGACTGTTCTTGAGGGGCATACATTAAGTGCAATTTGACTGTAGGCTCCTCACAAAATAAAGGCACATCTAGAAAAAAATTCCTTTTTAAAGAGATAAACATCTTCATATTGATCTTCAATGCATTTAGATATCTAAGCATGCCTCAGTTCGGGGCATTTGCAGAGGGCCTTTTGTTATCGTGATACAGTCCTGAATGTTAGATGAATGAATGAATGAATGTTGGCTTGGTTTGCCATTTCACACACCACTCTATTGGGGTACACGCTGTATCATAACCCCACAGTGATCTCTGAAAATGGCTGACTGACTTTGTGTTTCTTCTCTCTCTAGATCTGATCATGTCTCACTCAGGTGCTCAGGGCAGTATTGGCAGCCACTCTGCCATGGGGATGCACAATCACAAGGTATTCCTACTGTTCTTCTTTAATCTACCAATCCTAAAAACTACAAAACCTCATTGTGCATTGAAAATATTTGACATCCGACATAAATGCATTTGGCCTGTTTTACCTTTCAGATATACCTCTATGAATATGAGAACTTCCAAGGCCGTAGGATGGACCTGTTTGGAGAGTGCCGTAACCTGTGTGAGAAGGGTTTCGACAGAATCGGCTCCATCAGGGTGGAGTGTGGACCGTAAGTCACCACGCCTGCCATCTAAATACGTGTTACAGCAATGTGTATCTGAGTAAAACATCTATCTGTCTATCTGTCCAGCTGGGTGGGTTACGAGCAGCAGAACATGACTGGTGAGATGTTCATGCTGGAGAAGGGAGAGTATCCCCGCTGGGACACCTGGTCCAACAGCTACAGGTGTGATCGCTTCATGTCGGTCAGACCCGTCCGAATGGTAAGTTGGGGTCGGACTGCAAGGGCTTTTTGAGCCGCATTTCCTGTCTATTGTGGCTGCGAGTGCTAATTTTTATCACAGTTGTCTAGCCTCTCTCATCCATCTTCTATTGGCACAAGGGGGAAGTGCTTTTTATTGTTGCAGTTCAATCCATTGGCAGTATTTTTGGATTAAAGCTTTTATTAGCCGACTATGCCACTATGTTTCAGTTTGATGATATTCAGACAAAGAAAATCCAGACAACTGCAAGTACTCAGTGTTCTCCCCCAGAGGTTTGGTCTTAGTTTCTAAAACCACATTTCTATTCAAACCCATAATCAGTATAATACAATTCACGTAACCATAGTGATCCTGACTGGAAAATCTCATTGGTTAAATTTTGGGACAGCGAGTAAACCTGGAGCTGCACCAACCACATTTACAAATATCGAATCAATTGAATATCAATATTCATTATGTATGAGGTGGTAAACACCAACTCACTTGAAAGTAATGTTTGCACATTCGTTGATCTATACTTTGCACATTCTGCCCTCTTAGTTTTAAACACTGAACAGCTTTTCAGTTTAAAAACAGATATATTTTTATTGTAAACTTATATTTTATTTATGACTTTTGCAGGACTTTTTTCCTTTTTATTCTCTCTTACTGTCTCTGTTAGCAATAAACCTGATTTGGATTCTGATCCTTGTATCTTATAGGATCCCCAAGACCACAAGATTTGCCTATATGAGTGCCCAAACTTTGAGGGTCGTAAGATGGAGGTTTGTGATGAGGATATTCCAAGCCTGTGGTCTTACGGCTTCCAGGACCGTGTTGCCAGCCTTCAGGTCACCGGTGGAACGTAAGTCATTTCTAGTCATCCTCTAATTAGCTAGTAGTTTCACTTGTGTAATTGTACAGGTATTACAAGATTACTAGTGTATTTATAGATGTATAAATTCCCTCCTTACAGAAGTGAGAATGTCAAAACTAAACAGACACAAAGCTTTTAACTCATTCTCTGGTTCACATGTGTTTCTCTCTACTTCCCCACACAGCTGGGTGGGCTACCAGTACCCTGGCTACCGTGGCTACCAGTACGTGTTTGAAATGGGCCCTTACAAGCACTGGAACGACTGGGGAGCCCACCACTCCCAGATCCAGTCCATCCGCAGGGTGAGAGACATGCAGACACACCGCAGGGGCTGCTTTGAGATGACCGCATAGAGAGGAGTCCAGCAGACTGTGGGCTAACCGGAGGGAATACCATGGGGTTAAGGTTGCCATGCTGCTAAACATCCCTTGGAAATTCTTCAACAGCCACTTAGCCGCACAAGCTAACGGCTTTTGAATATTGTTACTGCTTTTACTGGTAGGATTTGGGAGTATGTGGCATCGTGAATGATCCTAATGAGAAGTCCTGATTGTCACCGACTTCCAGAGCAACTGTATCACCTGTAAAAACGGTAGCAATGCTCTCTGTCTACAGACCTCATAGAAAGATGATATGATTTATCATATTCATGAAAGCGAGATTATAGGGGATTAGCAGATTAAAGTTGATAGTTTGTGTTTATTAGTTTGTTTCAATGCTATTACACCCCTTTTATTTTATTTTTAATTACTCGCCTATGTGTTTCAAGCTGAAATGATGCCAATAAGCCTGTTCACCAAAGCGCTCTTCCTCTCCTGGGATCCACAGATTTTAGTGAGTAAAGGGATAAACAATCACATCACTCACACAATACTACCATGGACAGCTCTCAGCTCTGCACATGCCCTGCAGTAAGTTTGCCAAGCAGAGGGAGGCACTATCTCCTCATCACGGCTCCAAAAGCCTCCCTTCAGTGACTGGAGGAGGCTACTGGCCAGTCTGTGATTAAAGAGAAAGGGGACTATGCAGGGTTGTGTTTTGCAGATGTGAATATCTTTTGGCTGTCCCTGTTTCAGCTCATTGATGGGGCTGTCCAGAAGATTAGCTTTTTACACTTTCTCAGGGATGCTGGCATCTGGAAAGCAAATTTCCAAAGAAAACAATGAAATAAAGATATTACAAAGCTCAAATGTAGTCTCATTTCCACCTTTGTTTTGCTTGCTTTTGATACCATGATCATGATCATAATGGTCTTGAGTGATTGAGTGATGATACTGAGTGCTACAACTGGACATTTGTCACTAATCCTACTTTTATATCAACAATGGGTCAAAGGAACATGTGTAACGTGAAAGGGGTTACTGGTATCAATGAACCCAAAGAGAATTATTTACCTGACTTGAACATATTGGAGCATAAAGCAGCTAAGGAGACAATTCCTGCAGGAGTTGGTAGACCCAAACAGAGCTATAAGGAGAGTACATATTGGACTTCATTAGGAGGTCAGAAATACGACTCCAAATGAATGCTCCTGTTGTTCAGTGTCTGCTGAGTGGGGAACTGTTTGAAAGCATTATAGGGTGATAATGTATCTATATAGGTTCCTTTAAAATACTATACTTTATATGTTGGGTACCATGGCACAGAGCCAAACCTCAAGAATATATTTTATATTTTGGGTTTATGTGTTGGGAAGCTAAAATGCACTGTATGAACCTACAATCTATATTTCTAAAGGAGAAGAATCAGTCGACATAACCAGCTTCCTGATGATTAAGCGTCCCGAGCAGCTTACCTGAGCTAAAAATCATTTCAAGAGGTCATTTCTGACACCTGTGAACCCGCACTGAGGGAAGGCGCTCATCTTTGAGGTGAGTTAACGAGTACTGAGTAATCAGTTACTGTCCCCGAGTAAAGCCCAGCCATGCACGCTCTGGTGTATGAGCAGATGACGAGGCGCGCAGACAGACTGTCAGCCACGCACCACTGGTCGGTTTAAAGCCACAGGATTTGGATTAAATAGCTTGTGAGAGAGCCGATGAGCCTTGTGCGCGGGAGGGAGGGAGGGAGGGAGCTAAGGGACTGATTTTTATCTTTGACCGGATCGAGAAGGGGAGGAGGCACGGAGAATGAGTTATTCTTGTAGCAGCACAGAGCCTGTTTGCTGTGCGGTGTATTAGCCAGCGCGCAACTAAAGGCTGCGACGCAAGTAAATCGGCTCCTGCGGCGACGACGCCGAGAGCATCAGAAAGCCTCAGTTCCTGTCAGGTTGCGCACCGAACAGCCCTCTTCTGCTGGACATGAAAGTGCAGCAAGGCTGCAACTCATCAGACATGGGGATCCCGGTTACAACTGAAGAAGAATTGCGCAGAAATACCGTAATAACGCCCGAGGATGTGCTTGGGCTACAGAAGATCACCAAGAGTAAGTAACCTGCGACTGTAATTGACACAGTTAGAGGAGATTAGTGCAACCCATCTGCTGTTGCTTCCTTGTTCATTGTGTCTTTCTGTATGTAATGTTACATATTCCCTGTTTTTATTGACTGTCTCGCCAAACACATAGCTGGATACCATGGACAGCGACACAGTGTGACAGGACCTCAGAGAGTCTATAGCTTTAAATAAGACTTTTAACCAGTGTGCATTACAGTCAGTGAGCACTTTATAGGTTCAATATCTTACCCAAGGACAGTTACTGGTATTTATTGCTGTATGAGGCAAGCAGCCTGTTGAGTCCCCCCTTTGTAACTAATAATACTAATGTGTGTGTTTGCATTTTTGTAGGTGTTGTGTCTGAGTGTGTAGGCACTGAAAGAGATAGCAGTTGACTGTATATACTTCCTGGTGTGCTTCTCAAATCCTGCTGAAGAAAATTTGGCTCTTACTACATCCTCACCTCAAGACACCTGTTGCTCTGAGGTAACAGGTGGCCAGAGATGTGATCCGCTGATTATAGCTGGACACAGAAAGTAGTCAGCTGCTGGAACAAATACATGAGAAGAATACTATCAGCCTGTTGTTTGACATAATATGGAAACTGTTTCCATACTATGTCATGGAAACAGGACAGGGCAGGTTGTTAAAGGCTACAGAGACTGGAAGTAAACTAGTAGGCCTGGTTTCAAGCCCCTGAGCTGGGTCTATGGAAATTAATTTAACTGACTTTGAACTGTGCAAATCTATCTCATAATATCATACGCTGTCACCTGGATTGCACATTTTCATTGATAAAATTAATCTTTTTTCTAACCAAGATATAGCTGTTGTGATTGAGGGTGAGATTGGGACTGAAGCATGGGTCTAACTACAGTCTGGGTAGTGCATATTAAAATCTACTCTGGAGCTACTACAGATGCCTTAGATAGCATGAATCTGACTTAGTCTGACTTAAATATTAGTTTAACCAAGTCTTTTCTCAATTACTAGCTTCTCTTTCTCTAACTTTCAGCCTCATCTCAAGGTCTTTGTCAGCAAATGTGAGCAAACTATTACTAATGATTGTGAGAGGGGATCAAAAGCTCTGAAAAGCTCCCATAAATTAAGATTATTGTCCGTGTAATGTTTTTTTTTTTGTTTGGTAAGTCTAATGACATTCACTCCTTATTTATCAACCAAATTTGTAAGTGCAATGAAGAAAATCCACAGTAGATTTGCATTTTTATTGTTGCTATTAGTAATCCAAACGCCACCAACGACAACAACAGGATCGAAACCTGCTTTCACTTAAATTGATTAATTGTTCATTTTAATGAACTGACAACACAAAACACAAGAAGCTGTCATTGTCATTTTTATTCATTCATCATTCATCCACAAAAAAAAACTCACAAAACATCATTTTCTGCTCTTATCCCCTCTCAGACCATCACATCTGTTTTCATTTGGAAAAGCAATACTAGGGCTCCGTCAGTGCAATTATACCTAAATCACTCATGATAGTGCGGTAATCTCCGCTCTCCATTGACATCTAAGTAATCTGGATTATGTCAGGAGATCTGAAACGCAGCCTTCTGCAATGACGCGATACACCTCAGGTAATTAATGACCCTGGAGCAGAAGTGTAAGTTAGCTTGTTTACATTGTGGATATCAGATTAGAAATGTAGCCATTCATTTACACAGCTGCAAAATATTATTATTATTATTATTATCAGCAATGACATTTCAGTTAATTTGCACCCTAGCTGGATGATATTTGAGTTTATACAAATGAGCTGATGTTGATTCTCCTTTCCTTATTTCCTGTTGAGTGGTGAGAGTGCACAAATTTCTCCCCAAGGCCCAATCATTTTAAACGACAGACCATACAAAAGACCTATACCGCAGAGATAAGCATAGTGTGCCGGGCAATTCGGGCAATCATCTTCTGCTGCAAGAGAAAGGAAATCGCAGTTGGAAAAGAGGGAAGCAGAAAATGCCCCACCGTACAGTGCAAATGGTTTTTCTAGTTGTGCTTTTGGGAGGTAAATGCCACCATTTTGGGGCAGCCCAGCTCCAGTCTGTCTAGGTGGTTCAATGCTGATAAGCGAGGCACAGCGCCTCATTGTCACACAGGCAGAGAGGAGAAGAAATATAATCCAGACAGTGGAGAAGAGCTGTTACGATATAAAGCACGGCAAATTATCAGTTTACTGTTTCCATGATGGATGATTTATGATAAACAGATAAACAGAAATACTGCTATTACTGAATAAATGTTTTTTGTTTTTAATTCACGTTTTGTAACCTAAATTAATAACTACTAAGGGACAACAAAAGGCTTATAATCAATATATATTTTTGAAGAAACTTTCACTGTTTAATTCCCATATTGTTTTATCATGTTGTGCATTTCTGGATTTGTATTTGTTTTTACCTTTATTTAACCAGATGACTCAATTGAGCACCAATTTTCTGTGTTGAAATTGTCATTTACTACTCTGTTATTAACTATCCATGTACCCACTTTCCTGTCATCCACCATGTCTATTTCTGTTTCCATGTAAGTGCAGTGGATTCAGAGCAACAGAGTGGATTTCCTGTTGTTACAATGTGAAAATGGAGCCTCTTACAGAAAATGAGCTTCAGACTTTCAATCTAACTGAAATAGTTTTTAAATGTAAAACATCAATTTAAATTATACACTCCTCAGTTGGGTCAAAGCTAACTCAGAGCTCCAGATCCCTGGCCCAACTCCATGTTAGCAGGGATTCAGCCCTAGGTTGAAACAACAGAGGGGGCTGAGTTGGTGGTGGCGCGTTGTTCGAGGTACCGGTGTGACAATGAAATACAGTCCCGAAGGTCCAGTTGGAGTAACAGATTAGTGTGTTTAAAGGCATATCAGACAGTAAAAGACTTTGTGCTTCCCCAACACTGAACTAAAATGACCTTTGGAAGATAATCTGCCTAAGACGCATATTAACTTCGTATAAACTTCAATGCTCATTTTAGCACGGAACAAGGACTTTGAATTTTGTCCCCAATCACTCCCATTGGTAGTACATTAGAGAGGAATCTCTTAATGTCCAGTATGGAACAATTACAGCAAGCAATACCTCTTTCACTGTCCTTATGGGCACCTGACTGCGCAGATGGAGGGGTAGAGAAGACGATAACTGTCTTTTAATGGTATATAATTAGTGTGCAGAGCTTCCGGATCTGTGAAGTGAAGCAAACGTCAAAATGTCTTAAACCTGCATTCTGTCTAATGGCCAGTAGGGGGCAGCTCCATGGGCTCGATAGAACTGAGCCTTATGGGTAACAATGACCCAACTTCTCACTTGATTTATTAGCTCAGTAAACAGTTTCCTAATAAGTTTATGGTCTCAGTCACTAGTTTGAAGTCTTCTGGTGGCTGAAAATGACCAACATGGCAACGGCTATAATGTCAAACTCGATGGGTGACATAGGACAAAGGTTCACACTTGATATGTCCTAACTGGCTACACAAAGGTTGGCCGAAAGGTCTGCCGTCATGGGATAATGGTGCTTTGATTGTCAAAGGCTTGAATGGTTTTGCACTCAGTTGTACACTTGAAAAGTGAAGAAAAGTAGTAAAGTAAAAAAAGGGGGCTTGAGTGAGAGAAGTTTGAATCCTGCGTCTGACTTTGTGAAGTGGACGTGCTCGTTGGATTGTCAGCTTCAACGGTTACAGGAATTGATGGACCACATGTTGAACATGAAGATGCTGCTCAACCATCTGACAAGGACTTACTAAATCTAGGACTAAAATCATACTGGTGCTTTTAAAATGAATGTCTATTAATATCAAATGCACCATCTTAACAATTATTTATGTTCCATTCTATATCTGATCTTAAGCAGCTGTTTATATTTTCTTCTTAATAATAAATAATAAAGCAACAAACAAGAATCGATACAGACAATTAAAAGAAAGATACCTTAAAAAACTAAAAACAGAGAAGTTGGTATTACAACGTAATGGGATGTAGGAGTTCTACCACACAAGATCCTCTGTTGGCATTTTTGACTCAAAGGATCCACATTGGTGTGTAATTTTGCCTCATCCAGATGATTTACTCAGAACTGTCCGGCTCCTTTTACACTAATGGGTGATCAATTATTTGGCCTTAATAAGTCTGGAACAGAGAGCAGTGCTTTATCTACGTCGGGCGGGATTTCCACTCTGTGATGTCTGCCAACACAATGGATACAGCTTTAATTAAAATTGATTGGTGCTGCCAGTTCTTAATCTCCCATGCACAGCTGTCACAAGGTTACTCTTTCAGAGTGATTTGACATGGAAAGAGACGGCTTGTTGCATCCACATCAGTAATCAACACAATCTAAGGCTTGTGCGTGGTGTTGCACTCTCAATCAGGCACTAGTTTCCAGACTCAGCATCATATTGACTCAGTATTACAAATTTGAACATGCTGAATGTGCATTAGTGACAATTTTACTGTCTAATGGTTCAAAATCAAAGTTTGTTTGGGTCATTGATCAATACAAATAACTCAGTGATTTAAGCTACAGTGATATTTCTGGAAGCTCCTTGAGATGATGTTGAAAGCATCCAAACTTCAAACCTAATTTCTCACCTTGTTTTGAATTGAAACTGACAAAACCAGAGGAGTTGACCTCTGTTCTTTCAGGTTTTAGTACTACATCATATTGGCTCACACCAACATGCAAAGAAGCCCAGAAGACCTTCTTAAGTATAAGAGGTGAATAATCTTGAAGGTGCTGGAGGACAGATGTCAAACACTCGGCTTGTGGTCTTTTTTTACTGCTCTTCTTAATGCTCTTCCCTCTATAGAGATACGGCTCTCAGAGTGGCATTTTCTCCGCAGTAAGATGCTCCCTTTCTGCTACTACGTGCCAGATCATAGATGATATAACACTTACATGGCCCAAGTGGATTTTCAATTACTTGCACGTGATAACTATAGTATGTCAGCCAACAGGCTTTCCATAAGATGAT